CGCTTGAACTTGGGAGGCGAAGGCTGCCGTGAGCAGAAATCCTGCCACTGCACTCCAGCCTGGGTGACAGAGCAAGACTTCATCTCAAAAAAAAAAGAATACAGAACTACTTCTTAAATTTGAATCTCAGATAAATAATTTTTCAGTACCAGTATGTCCAGTGCAATATTGAATCTGGCAACTCTTAACTCCAGCTCTTTGGCAGGAAGTGTACTAGGAGAGCCTGGCACATCCTTTAATAAAGGAGGGTGAGAGGCTGTCAGAGGCCACGGCAGGCACACCAGGAGGACTCAGGAGCCAAGCTGGAAATGCCTTCAGTGGCCAAAGATGGGGCAACACGAGCACCAAAAAGAATAGGGCCAGGCGCGGGGCTCATTCCTGTAATCCCAGCACTTTGAAAGGCCAAGGTGGACAGATCTCTTGAGCCCAGTTCGAGATTGGCCTGGCCAGGATGGCGGAACCCTGTCTCTACAAAACATACAAAAATTAGGCCAGGCACAGTGGCTCACACCTGTAATCCCAGCACTTTGGGTGGATCACTTGAGGCCCGGAGTTTGAGACCAGCCTGGCCAATGTGACGAAACCCCATCTCTACTAAAAATACAAAAATTAGCTGGGTGTGGTGGCAGGTGCCTGTAATTCCAGCTACTTGGGGGGCTGAGACAGGAGAATTGCTTGAACCCGGGAGGCAGGGGTTGCAGTGAACAGATCATGCCACTGCACTCCTGCCTGGGCAACAAGAGGGAAACTCTGTCTGAAAAAAAAGAGATGGAAACAGATAGAGGGGAAAGAGGAAGAAAGGAGAAGGGAGGAGAGGAAAGGGGAAAGGAGGGGAGGTTTCGACTGGGTGCTGTGGCTCACTCCTATAACCCCAGCACTTCGGGAGGCCAAGGCAGGCAGATCGCCTGAAGTCAGGAGTTTGAGACCAGCCTGGCCAACATGGTAAAATCCCATCTCTACTAAAAATATAAAAATTAGCTGAGTGTAGTGGCGCATGCCTATAATCCCTGCTACTCAGCTACTGGGGAGGCTGAGGTAGGAGAATTGCTTGAGCCTGGGAGGCAGAGGTTACAGTGAGCCAAGATTTCGCCTTTGCACTCTAGCCTGGGCAACAGCTGGATTCCGTCAAAAACAAAAAACAGAACTTTCTGCTCCCTCACCTTCAGCATTGCTGGCTGTGTACGTTACCCAGAGCTGACCTGTGTCACCAGCAAGTGGGGCGTCTGCTTTCCCTTACACTGACCTAAGGCCCCTCCGCAAACTGCAGACCTCCTGTAACCCCAGCACTTCGGGAGGCCAAGGCAGGCAGATCAACTGAAGTCAGAAGTTTGAGACCAGCCTGGCCAACATGGTAAAATCCCATCTCTACTAAAAATATAAAAATTAACTGAGTGTGGTGGCACATGCCACCTGTGTCCCCAGGGGCAGATCGGGGATTTCTGACTGTCAGTGCCCAGGGATCAGCCTCACTGGGTCAGCTACCTGTGGCCATGCCCGGCACCTGGCAGTGGGCCCAGGAGACCAAGTCAGGGCCTGGGCGTCCTTACACCGAGGCAGATGGCCTGTGAGCGCATTCCCCAGGTGCAGACCTGGAGGAACTCTTGAGTTGCGAACTAATGAGTCTGTTAAACAAACTTGTTTCTCCCCAACCCTCGAATTAGGCAAGAGTACTTGCACAGTCTGCAATGAAGTTTTTTTTTTCGACATGGAGTCTCGCCCTGTCGCCAGGCTGGAGTGCAGTGGCATGATCTCGAGTCACTGCAACCTTTGCCTCCAGGGTTCAAGCAATTCTCCTGCCTCAGCCTCCTGAGTAGCTGGGATTACAGGTGCGCACCACCATGCCCGGCTAATTTTTCTATTTTTAGTAGAGGCGGGGTTTCACCGTTTTGGCCAGGCTGGTCTCAAACTCCTGATGTCATGATCCACATGCTTCAGTGAAGTATTCTTTAAATGGTATTTCTGGCCGGGAGTGGTGGCTCACGCCTGTAATCCTAGCACTTTGGGAGGCCGATGTGGGTGGATCACCTGAGGTCAGGAGTTCAAGACCAGCCTGGCCATCATGGAGAAACCCCATCTTTTTTTTTTTTTTTTTGGCTCACCGCAACCTCCGCCTCCTGGGTTCAGGCAATTTTTCTGCCTCAGCCTCCCGAGTAGCTGGGATTACAGGCACACGCCACCATGCCCAGCTAATTTTTTGTATTTTTAGTAGAGATGGGGTTTCACCTTGTTGACCAGGATGGTCTCGATCTCTTGACCTCATGATCCACCCGCCTCGGCCTCCCAAAGTGCTGGGATTACAGGCGTGAGCCACCGTGCCCGGCTGAGAAGTCCCATCTTTATTTAAATAAATAAATGGTATTTCTGGGCCAGGTGCAGTGACTCACACCTGTAATCCCAGCGCTTTGGGAGGCCAAGGCAGGTCAGCAGTTCAAGATCAGCCTGGCCAACCTGGTGAAACCCTGTCTCTACTAAAAAAAATACAAAAAACTTAGCCAGGTGTGGTGGTGCGCACCTGTAGTCCCAGCTACTCGGGAGGCTGAGGCAGGAGAATCACTTGAACCTGGGAGGTGGAGGTTGCAGTGAGCTGAGATCGCGCCACTGCACTCCAGTCTGGGCCACAGAGCGAGACTCCATCTCAACAAAAGAATAATAAATAAATGGTATTTCCTTCCAAGCGACCCTCAGAATACAGAAGAAAACCTCACATGAAAATTTTAGTATAGTTCCTTTCTGCTGGAACCACCCTCTTCCAGTAATTCTGGAAATGATGGACACAAAGGAAAAGAGGAGAGGCCCCTGATGCATGTTCTCGAGGCTTTTAGAAAACATGGAGTGGCTCCTTTGGCCACGTATATGCGAATCTGTAAGAAGGGTGATATTGTAGACATAAGGGAATGCATGCTGTTCACAAAGCAAGCCCCACGAGTGTGGCCGTGTAGAACTGGGATAGGCTACAGTGTCACCCAGTGTGCTGTTGGCATTGTTGTAAACAAACAATTGAAGGGCAAGATTCTTGCCAAGAGAATGAATGTGCGTATTGAGCATTCAGCAGGCTAAGAGCCGAGGCAGCTTCCTGAAACGAGGGAAGGAAAATGATCAGAAAAGGAAAGAAGCCTAAGGGAAAGGTTCCACAGAAGGGCCAGCCTGCTCCACCCAGGGAAGTGCCCTGTGTGGGAGCCAGTGGGAAGAAGCCTGAGCTGGTGGAACCTCTTCCCTATGAGTTCATGGCATAATAGGTGTTTAAAAAAAAAAAAAAAAATCACTGGGCTATTAAAAAAAAGAAGACAGAAAATCTTAGGATAAGTCCAGGCACGTGACTTATGCCTGTAATTCCAGCACTTTTGGAGGTGGGCAGATCACATGAGGTCAGGAGTTTGAGACCAGCCTGACCAAGATATTGAAACCCCGTCTCTACTAAAAATACAAAAATTAGCCAGGTGTGGTGGCTCACGCTTTGGGAGGCCAAAGTGGGTGGATTGTCTGATCTTAGGAGTTTGAGACCAGCCTGGGCAACAGGGTGAAACCCTGTCTTTACGAACATACAAAAAATTAGCTGGGTGTGTCAGCGGGTACCTGTAGCCTCAGCTACTCAGGAGGCTGGGGCAGGAGAATTGCATGAACCTGGGAGGCGGAGGTTGTGGGGAGCCAAGATGATGCCATTGCACTCCAGCCTGGGCAACAAGAGCAAAACTCTGTCTAAAAAAAAAAAAAAAAAAAAAGGCTGGGTGCGGTGGTGGCTCACGCCTATAATCCCAGCACTTTGGGAGGCCAAGGTGGGTGAATCATGAGGTCTGGAGATCAAGACCATCCTGGCCATGGTGAAACCCCATCTCTACTAAAATACAAAAAAGTTAGTTGGGCATGGTGGCACACACCTGTAATCCCAGCTACTCAGGAGGCTGAGGCAGGGGAATCAGTTGAACCCAGGAGACAGAGGTTGCAGTGAGCAGAGATCATGCCACTGCACTCCAGCCTGGGCAACAGAGCAAGATTCTGTCTCAAAAAAAAGGAAAATCTTAATAAATATATAAAGCCAATGAATCTTCAGGAGAACCAAGACTCTCCAGGAAGTAATGAAAGGTGTTCCCTGGACTTATCCACAGGGCTGCTCAGGGCCTTGGGGTCAGAGGGGACTGTCGTGCCCAGCCTTTCCCTCATATCTGATCTACAGCAGACCGGGCACTCAGAACAGAAACCACAGAGGAGGGCCAGCCCTGTGGTTCCGGGTCCACCCCCAACCCTGGGTTGCGGAGAAGTGCGTTGCTTTGCCCAGGCTGCAGCTGGTCTGCAGTCGCTGGACAAGCAGTGGGCCATGTCCTATCAGGGATGGGACGCTGGCAGCGTTCACGCCAAGGGCTTGAGACAGTAGCGTGACTCGCCCCATCTTGGCTGCTGGACCTATCTGCTCTCTCTCCCCGCTCTCGAGGGCTGTCGAGTTGAGGGGAGAATGGCTAAGCCACTGAGGCAAAAAACAGAATGCAGAGTAAGGGCCTGCGGTTTATGAGGACATTGTGCTGGCTATTTTATAACCCCTTTAGTCTCTGTGTAAGCAATAGGCTTGCTGCAATTGAGATACCTGAGAGGGGCAAAAGACCCCTGCCCATATTTTCTCAGGAGCTGAGCCTTTGCTCTACCTCCTGATGGAAACATAGTTAACAAGCCACCTTAAGGGAACCATTGTTTGTTTGCACTGTGTATCTTTGAAAAACATATATTAACTCTTGAACTGCTTTGTAAGCTATTATCACAAGCCCCCTTGAAACTGTTTTGTGAGCTGTTATCACAGGCCCCTGATAACTATTTTTGCGTGATTTCTGTTCCCTTTTCTGTTTGCCCCCTTTTTCTGCTGAGCTAAAGTAAATGCTGAGCTAAAGTAAATGTAACAAGAAAAAAGGTATAAAAGCTGTCACCCACAGAAATAAAGTTGCTGCTTGACTGCAAGTAGACCTCCAGACTCCACTTTCCTATATTCTTTCACTTCCACGTGCTCTCTCCCTCAGGTTGAACGAGACATCTACGTTGGTGGTCTCGGGGACTCCTGCAGGCCGGTAGCCCCCTGGTAGACGTGCCAGACCTCAACATCTGGCGCCCGAACAGGGACCTGAGTATGAGAGGTACAGTGATGCACCCCAAATCAGAGGAGACAAGGTAAAGCTGTGGTTCTTGTAGTTCTGGACTCAAAATTCATCTGGAGTAAAAAAATGGAGCAGTGTGAGTCCAGAAATCAGTCTGTGTTTTTAATGTTGATGCATCAAATGTTAAGAAATAGAGGTGCCGATGTAAAAATGAAACGTGTTTCTAAGTTTTTAGAGATTGTCTATGTATTGTGTCCATGGGTCCCTGAGGAGGGATCCTTAGATGAATCTACGTGGAGTAAAATAGGAACTAAGATTGAGGAATATGCCGCCACTCATCAATCTTCCCCGCAGGCAGAGCTGCTGCTTTCAGTTTGGCCAAAGCTGCACCAGGCTGTCTGCCTGCCTTTCTGCAACACAGCAAACGCTGACACTCACTGCTCTCCTGCTGCTTCTCTTGCTTCTAATCCCTCTTCCTCTTACAAATCTAAACCTGATGATGGGGGCGGGGGGAGGGTGGCTGTAATTTACCACCTTGTAATCCTCTAAACGAGCTCGATTCCGCCCTCGGATTCAGACCTGGAGCTGGAAATGGAGGAGCTTGGGACGCCCCTGAGCAATTTTTCAGGCTCCTGGCTTTGCTTTCTAAACCTGCTCAAGCTTTTCCTGTGGTTACTACGCCTTCCTTTAGACACTGGAGCAGATGTTTCTGTAACTTCCTCAGAGTTTTGGCCCCCTGCATAACCTGTCACACAGGCTGTCCCTGCAGGGCATAGGCACTTCCTCTAACCCTTATCAGTTCTCTCAGCTGTTATCTTGGTCAGATAATAGAGCTGGTCCAGGAACAGCTCGCAGCTGGCCATTTAAAACATTCTAATAGTCCATGGAATACTCCTATTTTTGTCATTAGAAAGAAATCTGGTAAATGGAGACTCTTACAAGACCTTAGGAAAGTAAATGAAATTATGGAAGTCATGAGACCTCTACAACCTGGTCTCCCTTCACCTGTTGTTGTTCCTCAAAATTGGGAATTACTAGTTATTGATTTGAAAGATTGCTTCTTTTCCATCCCCTTAGCACCTCAAGATTGCTGCAGGTTTGCCTTCAGTGTTCCTGCAACCAATTTTGACAGGCCTTTTGAACGCTATGAGTGGACTGTTCTACCCCAAGGTATGGCGAATAGCCCCACCTTGTGTCAGAAATTTGTTGCTCAGGCAGTTGCGCCCCTCCATGAGTGCTACCTGGATGTTCTTTTGCTACAATATATGGATGATCTTCTTTTGGCTGCTCCTTCCCCTGTCCTCCTACAGGAAGCCTTTCGGGATTTAAGCAACCTCCTTACAAATTCAGACTTAGTTATATCTCCTGATAAAGTCCAAAAGGTGACTCCTTTCCATTACTTAGGTCGCCTCATTGACTCCAATCAAGTGTCCTCTAAGACTCCTGTCTTATCTACTGCCCATCTCAGTACATTAAATGAATTCCAAAAGTTTTTGGGAGACATTAATTGGATCAGACCTAGACTTAAATTAACTACTGGTCAGCTCAAGCCTCTTTTTGATATGTTCAGAGGCCCTGCAGACCCAAAGTCTCCCTGGACACTTACTGATGAGGCTAGACATGCCTTGCAATTGGTGCAAGATGCTGTCTCAGAACAAAAACTAAACTGTGTCTCTATTGGGGTATCTTGGTGTTTATGCGTTTTACGCACCTCCTACACCCCCACAGGCCTCTTCTGGCAAAAGGGAATCTTGGAGTGGCTCCATCTGTCTGCCAGTCGGCCTCGCAACGTTACTCCTTATCATGAATTAGTGTCCATGCTAATTGCCAAAGGCTGCCTCAGGGCACTTGCTTTCTTTGGCTCTGACCCGCCTCTCATAATTGTTCCTTACACCGCCCAAGAACAGTCCTGGTTATGGTCATTCTCTGACTCGTGGCAAATAGCTCTTGCAGGTTTCTCAGGGCAACTTTCCTGTCATTATCCCAAAGACAAAATATTGCATTTTTATTCTCAATATAATCTCATTTTTCCCAAAACTTGTTCTTTGCAGCCAATTTCTCAGGCCGCTTTGGCATTTACAGACGGTTCCTCAAACAGACTTGCTGCTGGACAGATTGATGATGTTCCCTTTTCTTTCCAGATGCCTGAAACTTCCACCCAAAGGGTGGAATTGCTTGCTGTTCAACATGTGCTCTCTACTTGTGGTCAATAAGTTAATATATACTCTGACAATCAATATGTAGTTAACTTGATTAATCTGCTGGAGACAGCACCCCTGTCATTCTCTGACAGTTCTGCTATAATACACCTACTTATTCCTTTACAGCAGACTATCCGCAAGTGGACTCATCAATTTTTTATTGGCCATATTCGTGCACATACTAACAAGGCTCACGTAGCCTGCAACTGCAGTTTCATATCACCAGAGAACAGGCTCGTGCCATTGTTAAGCAATGCCCTGCTTGTGTCTCACTTGCCTCAAACTACTCACACTGGAGTAAACTCTCGTGGCCTACAGCCTGGCCACATCTTTCAGATGAATGTCACCCATATTGCTTCTTTTGGTCATTTAAAATATGTGCATGTAACTATTGACACTTTTTCTCATTTCATAGTAGCTTCAGCCCATACAGGAGAGGCAGCAGTCAAGGACGTGACTGCTCATTGTCTACTCGTGTTTTCCAGCCTAGGTGCACCAAAGATTTTGAAGACTGATAATGCTCCAGCTTATACCAGTTCTTCATTCCAAACCTTTTGTTCTCAATTTCAGGTGATTCATAAGACAGGAATTCCCTATAATCCTCAGGGACAGGGAATTGTTGAACATGCTCATGCCACCCTTAAAACTTTATTACTTAAACTAAATAATTCACCTCCTTCCTTTTACAAGTCTCCACATGATGTACTTCAGCATGCTCTTTATGTTCTAAATTTTTTAACCCTTGATGCCCAGGGCCACTCAGCAGCTGATTGTTTCTGGCACCCAAGGGACTCAGCCACGCCTATGGTGTTATGGAAAGATTTTTTCTCTAATCAGTGGAATGGCCCTGACCCAGTGTTAGTTTGGGGCAGAGTTCACGTTTGTGTTTTTTCTAGATCTGCCCCCTCACCTATCTGGGTACCTGAATGACATGTCAAGCATGCCCCAAAGAGGACAGTCCTCTCCAAGACCAGTGACCATCCCATTTCCCCAACTGACATCTCCCCATCAGCCGTGCCCTCAGATGACTTCACTGAACTCCCTTCTCCCGAGAATCCGACGTCTACATCTGCAGAGGACAACGCCCCACTGTGCCCATCACCCTCGGCACCAGCTGGCGCCTCCTCAAGAAGTCCCAGTCCTGACCTGGACCCAGATGCAACGCCTGGTGACTGATGCGTCGCACATTGTTTGTCAGTAAGGACACTCTCTTAATCCGGCTACTCTGTTTTTAGCCATGCTAGCTGTTTTGTCCTGTGATCCTATGTTGGCACGTTCTGTGTCCACTTATGATTCCCCTGATGCTTTTTGGGCCCATGTCCCTGATCCTCCTTTACTCCGCCCTGTTACTTGGGATGACCCTGGCTTTCTTAACGACACCTCAATATTTGGCACCCCTTCAGCCACTCATATCTATCCTCAATCAGCAAATTACACCTTCTTTGGTCAATCCATTTCTCCTCCTATGTGTTTCCATGCTGCCAAACTGCACCTATGCCCTTTTGCTAGGGCCAGCGTCTTTTCATGTTCAAAATGGTCATTATACTATTTCCTGTTTAAATTGCCTACTCACAAATTGTATTGATGCTCTCCATGTTCCCTGTTGATACAATTCTTGTTGTTATGCTCCCTGTAAATATTTCAGGTCCTTGGTATGATGAGCATTCATACTCTCTGTTCTACAAAACCCAATCTCTGTTCCTTTGACGCCTAAAACGTTTCCTTGGTTATGCTCATTGCTGGAATTGTTGCCATTGTGTCTGTAATAGCTTCTACAGCTACAGCTGCTGTCGGTCTTACTAAATCTGTTAATACTGCTGTATATGTGAATCACTTAGCAAAAAATGCTTCTATTGCTATGAGAACTCAAATGTCTATTGATGACAAATTAGAAGCTAAACTGAATGCCTTAGAGCAAACTGTAACCATACTAGGGGACAAGGTGTATAACTTACAAAATAAACTTTCACTTTACTGTCATGCTCATTATAAATATATATGTGTTACCAGCGGTCCTTACAATGATTCCCAGTGGCAGTGGCCACTTATTAAGGCCCATTTACAGGGCATCTGGTCTTATAACAATCTCTCTCTTGACATCTCACATTTGCAGCAAGAAATTTCGGCCATTGACCTTTCTTGGTCACAATTACCTGATGATGACTCTATTGCTAACAGTTTTGTTGATGCCATGTCCTCTTGGGTACAACAGTTTCATATCCCCTCCTTTTCATCACTGCTTGCCATTGCTGCTTGTCTTCTTGTATTGCTGATGTGCTTGCCATGTATCTTCCACCTCTTGTTCTCCACCCTCCGAGAAGTGCAATTAAAAGTGTTTGCCCTTCATTTGCAAAGTAAAAAAACTGGGAGATGGCAGTGTTCACACCAAGGGCTTGAGACAGTAGCGTGACTCGCCCCATCTTGGCTGCTGGACCTATCTGCTCTCTCTCCCCGCTCTGGAGGGCTGTCGAGTTGAGGGGAGAATGGCTAAGCCACTGAGGCAAAAAACAGAATGCAGAGTAAGGGCCTGCGGTTTATGAGGACATTGTGCTGGCTACTTTATATCCCCTTTAGTCTCTGTGTAAGCAATAGGCTTGCTGCAATTGAGATACCTGAGAGGGGCAAAAGACCCCTGCCCATATTTTCTCAGGAGCTGAGCCTTTGCTCTACCTCCTGATGGAAACATAGTTAACAAGCCACCTTAAGGGAACCATTGTTTGTTTGCACTGTGTATCTTTGAAAAACATATATTAACTCTTGAACTGCTTTGTAAGCTATTATCACAAGCCCCCTTGAAACTGTTTTGTGAGCTGTTATCACAGGCCCCTGATAACTATTTTTGCATGATTTCTGTTCCTTTTTCTGTCTGCCCCCTTTTTCTGCTGAGCTAAAGTAAATGCTGAGCTAAAGTAAATGTAACAAGAAAAAAGGTATAAAAGCTGTCACCCACAGAAATAAAGTTGCTGCTTGACTGCAAGTAGACCTCCAGACTCCACTTTCCTATATTCTTTCACTTCCACATGCTCTCTCCCTCAGGTTGAATGAGACATCTACGTTGGTGGTCTCGGGGACTCCCGCAGGTCGGTAGCCCCCTCGCAGATGTGCCGGACCCCAACAGGACACAGTAGCCAGCAGAGGTGGCCTGGGTACAGGCCAGGGCGAGCCCTCCAGGTTTCCTGTGGCTGAGAACGGCACTGCAGGGGCACTCCAGGTCTCCACATTGAGGGAGCGCGGAAAGGTCACTGCAGGCTTCTGGATGACCCAGGGACCATGTGCTGTGTGCATGAGGCTGGGGCTGAGCTCCAGGGGATGTCCTCACACCCACCGCGCTGACACCAGAAACAGCAAAACTCCCTCCTCCAAAGCGCCCCCAGCACCCACTGCTGGCAGAGCTCAGCCTCGCCCTCCCCGCTGCAAGGAGCGATTCAGGATCCCCTCCAGGACCTGCAGAACATGGCATGCTGGGGGCTCTGGAGCAGAGCAGTGTAGCTCAATAACCAAGGCTCAGATCCATGAGCACTGGGATCAGTACAAACCTGATCGTTTTTCTTTTCTTTTCTGAGATGGTCTGGCTCCATTACCCAGGCTGGAGTAAAGGTGGTACAATCACAACTCACTGCACCCTCCACCTCCCCAGCTCAGGCAATTCTCCCACCTCAGCCTCCTGCAGCTGGGATCACAGGTGTGTGCCACTGTGCCCGGCTAACTTTTGTATTTTAGTAGAGACAGGGTTTCACCATGGCCAGGATGGTCTCGATCTCCTGCCCTTGAGATCTGCCCACCTCGGCCTCCCAAAGTGCTTGAATTACAGGCGTGAGCCACTGCGCCTGTACTTTTTCTTTTTGAGACGGAGTTTCACTCTTGTTGCCCAGGCTGGAGTCCAATAGCGTGATCTCAGCTCACCACGAACTCCATCTCCTGGATTCAAGCGATTCTCCTGCCTCAGCCTCCCAAGTAGCTGGGATTAGAGGCACTCGACACCACACCCAGCTAATTTTTGTATTTTTAGTAGAGACGAGTTTCACCATGTTGGCCAGGCTGATCTCGAACTCCTAACCTCAGGTGATCTGCCCACTTCAGCCTCCCAAAGTCCTGGGATTACAGGTGGGAGCCACCACACCCAGTCATGTTTTATTTTTGACTGAGTCTTGCTATGCTGTCCTGGCTGGTCTCCAACTTCTATGCTTAAGCAATCCTCCTGCCTCCACCTCCCAACATGCTGGTATTATAGGAGTGAGCCACTGCACCCAGACGATTTTTCTATCATAATTGCATACCCAATTTTTTTTAAAGAGACGGGGTCTCCCTATGTTGCCCAGGCTGGAGTGTAGTGGCTATTCACAGGTGTGATCCCACTGCTGATCAGCACCGGAGTTTTGACCTGCTCCATTTCCGGCCTGGGCCAGTTCACACAGGGCCCCCTGTGTCCCAAGGCCATTCCTGGCAGTCCCGCCACAGCTGTGTCCTCAGGCCTGGTGTGGCATTTGCTGTCACAGGTTGCTCCCTAGAGTTTGTCCTCACCCCTCCAACCTGCCGCACCCCACCGTCTCATTCCCGCGAACACATTCGGCATAGTCCAGGAGGCTGGGGTCTGAGACGGCAGTGCCCAGCAACCCTGCCACGCAGGAGGTGCACAGCACATGCTCAACAATGGGCAGAGGGAATACCTGTCAGCTTCCACTGCGTAGGCACAGGCCCATGTCTCTGTCTCTGTTTCTGTGTGTGTGTCTGCGGGTGTCTCTGTGTCTGTGTGCGTCTTTCGAGGTGTGTGTGTGCCTGTGTGACTATGTTTCTGTATGTGGCTCTGTGCATGTGTTTCCATGTGTCTTTGTGTATCTCCGTGTGTGTGTGTGTGTGTGTATGCATCTGTGTGGGTCTCTGTGTTTGTGTGTATCTGTGTGTGTCTGTCTTCATGTGCATGCATGTGTGTCTGTGTCTGCCTCCACCTGTCTTTGTGTGTGCATGTGTGTGCATATATGTGTATGCATGCATGTGCACGTTAATGGGAGTATGAGCTTGACATGCTGTGCATGTGTGTGTACATGTGTGTCTGTGTGTGCATGCTCATTGGAGTATGGTTTTGGCTATGCTGTGTGCATGAGTGTGTATGTGTGTGTGCATGCTCATGGGAGTATGCGCTTGGCTGTACTGTGTGTACATGTGTGTGCAAGCATGTGTATGTGTGTGCCGGTATGTGCACTCATGGGAGTATGGGCTTGGGTGTGCTGTATATGCATATGTGTGCATGCGTGTGTGTGTGCACACTTGGGAGTATGGTTTGGCTGTGTGCAGTGTGTGTGCATGCATGTGTGTGTACACACTCATGGGAATATGGGCTTGGCTGTTCTGTGTATGCATGTGTGTGTGTGCACGCTCATGGGAGCATGGGCTGTGCTGTGGGTGCATTTGTGCGTGTGTGCACACTCATGGGAGCATGGGCTGTGCTGGTGCATGTGTGTGTATACCTGTGTCTGTGTGCACGCTCATGGGGTGTGTGGGCTTGGTGTGCTGTGTGCGTGAGTGTACACGTGTATCTGTTTGCACGCTCATGGGGTGTGTGGGCTTGGTGTGCTGTATGCATGTGTGTGTATACATGTGTCTGTGTGCATGCTCATGGGGTGAGTGTGGTCTGCACGCTCATGGGCTGAGTGTGGGCTTGGTGTGCTGTGTGCATGTGTATGTATACATGTGCCTGTGTGCACACTCATGGGGTGAGTGTGGACTTGGTGTGCTGTGTGCATGTGAGTGTACATGTGTGTCTGTGTGTGTATGCTCGGGTGTGTGGGCTTATTGTGCTGTGTGCATGTGAGTGTACATGTGTATCTGTGTGCACGCTCATGGGGTGAGTGTGGGCTTGGTGTGCTGTGTGCATGTGAGTGTACATGTGTGTCTGTGTGTGTATGCTCGGGTGTGTGGGCTTATTGTGCTGTGTGCATGTGTGTATACATGTGTCTGTGTGTGCAGGCTCATGGGGTGAGTGTGGGCTTGGCGTGCTGTGTGCATGTGTGTACACGTGCGTCTGTGTGCACACCCATGGGGTGAGGGTGGGCTTGGTGTGCTGCCTGTGGCTCTGAGTGCCTGTGGTTTTTCTTCTCAATGAGCCGGGCTGCCTGGAATGTTGAGTCACCAGAATGGCAGCCTACATCAGGTCCTCAGTGTGGGCATGGGGCCAACTGACCCCTCTCGCTCCACCCTGCCTCCGAGAGGAAGACAGTCCAGAGCACTGGTTTGCTGGGGGCTTGGCCAGGGCACAGCGATGCCAGGGGCTTTGTTTTGTCCTGGTCTGTCCTCTTTCCAGAGGGAAAAATGCCAGGCCAGGCTGGGAGCTAAGTCACATACTCTCAACTCTGGCCATGTCCCCGGCTAGCAAGGGCTCCACAGTCCCAGCCTAGGAAGGGGCAGGAGGGGCACAGGTCAGTGGCCACAGGAGGAGCAGGTGGTCTGGTCACTGCTGGTCCTGCTTTCTCCTGTGGCTGTTTCTTGCTGAGGACCTAACAGGCAGGAGCAGGTAAGAGGCCTGGGGGCCTCCACAGCCTTTTGCTCCTTGCCCAGGGCCCCAGGGAGGTCAGCTGCCCCCGTGGCGCTCTCAGACCACAGCCTCTGGTCTGCAGGTCGGTTGGCTGGAGCTGCTGCCCAGAGAGGGAAGGCTCTGCAGGGCGTGTGACGTGCCCTGCCCTGAGGCTGTTGTGTGCATCAGGTACCCCTCTGGGCCTGTAGCGGACCTGGCTCCCCTCCCAGGCCCTTCCAGACCCAAGGGCTGACTCTGTCCCCCACACCCGAACTGCTGTCTGTCATCCTCCCTCCACAGGGGAGAGAGAGAACAGGGAGTGTGACCGAGGGAGCCAGAGAGGGAGCCAGAGACGGCAGAGGCCAAGGTCCCAGGGTGTGTGATGGAGACAGACCCGCCGGCAGGCCGCCAGCACTAATATAAACCAGTTGGAAAAACAGGAGGAGAGGCCAGCAGAGGCTAGGTCTTGAGGCTGGCCAGGTGGGGCTTGTTTTTCCAGAATCAAAAGCCCAGGGAGGGAGCCAGGCTGTCCAGGCAAGTTCAACCCAGAAGCTGGTTTGGAAAGGGGCTCCGCCCACCTGGCCAGCCACGAGTCTGACAGGTTCTGGGGGCTGGGAGTGGGGGTCTTGTGTCCTAACAAGGTCCCGGTCCCAGCCCTGCCCGTAGCCGCCCCCCCCACCACACCCTCTCACTGGGGCAGCAGCAGGGTTCCTCCCCTTGCCCTGAGACCAAGACTGATCAGACTGGGTTTCCCACTGTCCGAGAACTTGGGGAGGACTTGGGGACCAGAGCGGGGCTCAGGGGTGAGTCCCCCACCCACCGGGGCTATAAGGAGCACTCACTCCAAGTGGGCGGGCTGAACTCTGGGCTGAATGTTTCTTGTGGTTGTTCAGAGTTTTTTTTTTTTCTTGAGGTTTGCTTAACTAGAAGGCGTGGGTTTGGTACACAGTGTGGCTCTGTCATTTTGCATTTGTTTATGTGACTTTGTGAGTTTTCCCAGAGTTTCAAATTTGTGCCTTCTGTGGTGGGATCCCACTCTCCCCTTCCTGCAGGAACCCCTAACCTGGGACCTGGTTTCAGGGACAGCAGGACAGCCCTGGGGGACAGGGCCAGCAGGGGAAAGGTATGCCACACTCAGGACCCCCAGGCCTCATAGTACTCAGGGCAACCCCCCCCTCAGCTGACTCTGCAGGTTGTAAAGGGGATGACTGGCCAGCAGTGTCCAGCATCCTGTCCCAAGAGAGTCCACTGTGGCCCCTGAGGAGATGGTAATAAGGTCATGCTGGCTAAGGGTTGGAGCCGGAAGGGAATCTGGTCTGAAGGAGGGTGCCAGGGCGTACAGTGGGTTGGGGGGGGTCCCTGCACCAGAGGACTTTCTGGGGCCTGGAGCAGGCAAGGGGAGGCCCCTGCCCTGAGGTGGCTCACATGGGGGGAAGCCAGAGGCAAAGCCAAGGGGACACCGGACAGTCCCAGCTCTGCGCAGTCCAGAAGGCTCCCAGATGTCAGACACGCCCATACAGCATCAGGGACCCACGCCCTCCGACTGTCTTGTCCCTCCAAGGGTGGGGTCAGTACCCCCTCCCCAGGCCTGACCAAAGAACGGCTGGGCCTCTGCTCCCACACTGCCCCTCCCCAATAGCACAGCAAGGATGGGGAGCTGAGGGGCCCGGGAGGAGCCAGAGGGGGCGGTCCTCAGGCAGCTGACCGGCCCAGGGTTCCGTGATGTCACCGCGGGTGCTAAGGAGGGGGAGGGGTCGAGCTGTTTTTCTGGAGACAGACTTAGAGCTGAGTGGGACCAAGCCTGGGGCTGGACGGGGGGCCATGGCGCTGCCACCCCGAATCCTGCTTTGGAAACTGGTGCTTCTGCACAGTGAGTGTGGGGCGCTGGGAGGCGGCTGGGGGGCAGCATCTGGGGCTGCACAAGTCCATTTCGACAAAACCGCCTGTTTGAGCTTGGGCCAGGAGGGGAGGGAAGGCCCCACAGGGAAGAGGACAGGTCTGGGGGCACTCGGGAGAGCGGATCTCGGAGGGTGTGACGTCTTTAGTCAGCCAGCCTCCCCTTGCTAGGGAGCGGAGCCCAGAGGGCCAAGAAGGGCCAGGCAGCCTTTCTGTCAGGGCCCCTCCTGCACCCCAGCTTGCTGGGGGTCTGCGCTTTTCCCAGTTGTAAGGAGTGGGTCAGGGATTGAGGGGAGCCAGAGAACTGTGGGGCCTGAAGGGTCTGTTCCAGCCCCCGCTCCCAGGCTCGGGCCGGCCTGCTGACCGGGCACATTCCTCTGGGAAGCTCCCAGGCTTCCAGCCACGTCTCTGGGGCAGTTTTCATGTAGGATCTATGGGACGGAGCAGCCACCAGTGTCGAGTCACAGGATGGAAACAGCTTTTATTACCCACGGGCCCCGGTGTACAGGGCCCGCTGGGAGACTAGGGCAAGCGGGAAGAGACAAGGACCCCAGCCCAGGGCTTTCCGCACACAAGTTTCCCTTGAGGAGCTTTTTTTTTTTTTGGAGTGTCTCTCGTCATGGAGGCTGGAGTGCAGTGGCTCGATCTCGACTCATTGCAACCTCCACCTCCCAGGTTCAAGCGATTCTCCTGCCTCAGCCTCCTGAGTAATTGGAACTATAAATGCTCACCATCACACCTGACTAATTTTTTATATTTTTAGTAGAGTCAGAGTTTCACCACGTTGGCCAGGCTGATCTAGAACTCCTGACCTCAGGTGATCCACTTGCCTCAGCCTCCCAAAGTGCTGGGATTACAGGGATGAGCCGCCATGCCTGGCCGGAGAGTTTTAACTGGTGGGTTTAAAGCAAGCAGCACGAGCCCGTGGGGACATACTGTGACTGTGTGGGGACTCTGTCGTGTGGCTGTGGAGCTCGGGGTCTTTCGGGACACAGGGTTTGGTCACCAGAGGATGGTTGTGTTGGGCGGGTGTCTAGGTGGGCCAGCTTGAGGAAGGGGGCCACGAACTGGAAACTGTCTCGGGTGGCAGCCCTGCTTCCAGTCGGAGGAAGTCCAGCCTAGATTCAGGATGGATGCTGAGGCAGCCTAAACCAGTGCCAATTCCCTGCAAGCAGGAACGTGGGCCTGTGGGGTGGTGGCTGGGGTCACCACCCACATTCACCCTTCAGCCTCTGCCCCTATGGGGCTGCTCTGAGCCTTGGGTATGGTGTGGGGTCTGAGGACCCTGGGGCCTGGGGCACACACTCCCCCGAGGAGCGTGGGGGACCCCACAGACCCAGCCTTGGTCCCAGCGTTGGTGCTCTGGATGACTGGGCTGCAGCCAGGCAGAGTGGTCCCAGGGACAAGCACACACCCCAGAACCAGCCGGCTTGGGGCCTGGCGCTGGGGCCCACACCGACGGCCTGGCTTCCCCACCCCACAAGGGTAGGTGGCATCCACAGCCCAGCAGGGTGACAGGGAGGGCTACCCGAGCTGTGTGAGAGGTGCCCTCCACGCACCTAAGTGGACCGCACAGCACCCACCTTGTCTGGGACCACAGGAGGGATTCCGGGGGTCAAGGGGGGACCCCAAGGCCGGGTGGGGCTGCGGTTGGCCTCTCCAGCTCACTCATCTCCTTCCAGGCTCTGCTGTTCTTCTGCACTCAGGTTAGTGACCCTGGCCACAGCTGCATGTCCCCAGTCTCCCTCAGCCCCTACCGTCTTGCCAGGCCTCTCCCGTGGGGTCATCAGGCCCCACCCCTCCCCACTGACTCCCCCATCTTCATCAGGACCCTCGGGGCCCACCCCTCCCCAACTAACCCCACTTCTCCACCAGCACCCTGGAGGCCCGCCCCTCCCCCACTGACTCCCCCATCTCCACCAGGGCCTTCGGGGCCCTCCGCAGCCGGCAGTTCTGTGGTGTCGGAGTCCGCAGTGAGCTGGCCGGCGGGCGCCCGGGCGGTGCTGCGCTGCCAGAGCCCGCGTATGGTGTGGACCCAGGACCGGCTGCACGACCGCCAGCGCGTGCTACACTGGGACCTGCGCGGTCCCGGGGACAGCCCCGCGCGCCGCCTGCTGGACTTGTACTCGGCGGGCGAGCAGCGCGTGTACGAGGCACGCGACCGCGGCCGCCTGCAGCTGTCCCCGGCGGCCTTCGACGACGGCAACTTCTCGCTGCTCATCCGCGGTACGGAGGCGGGGGCGGGGGCGAGGGCTGCGGGGCTAAGGGGCACCGCCGAGCTCACGCGCGGCTTTCTCCCGGGTGCGCAGCGGTGGAGAAGACGGACGCGGGGCTGTACACCTGCAACCTGCACCACCACTACTGCCACCTCTACCAGAGCCTGGCTGTTCGCCTGGAGGTCACGGACGGCCGTGAGTGCGCCCCCGCCTTCCCGCCCCCGCCCCTCGACCCCCGCCCCGGCCCGTGCGCCGCTGACCGCGCCCCCTTCGCAGCCCCAGCCACCCCTGTCTACTGGGAAGGCGAGAAGGAGGTGCTGGCGGTGGCGCGCGGCGCGCCCGCGCTGCTGACCTGCGTGAACCGCGAGCACGTGTGGACCGAGCGGCACGTGGAGGAGGCGCAGCAGGTGGTACATTGGGACCGGCAGCCGCCCGGGGTCCCGCACGACCGCGCCGACCGCCTGCTGGACCTGTACGCGTCGGGCGAGCGCCGCGCCTACGGGCCGCCCTTCCTGCGCGACCGCGTGGCCGTGGGCGCGGACGCCTTTGAGCGCGGCGACTTCTCGCTGCGCATCGAGCCGCTGGAGCCCGCCGACGAGGGCACCTACTCCTGCCACCTGCACCACCACTACTGCGGCCTGCACGAGCGCCGCGTCTTTCACCTGACCGTAGCCGAACCCGACGCGGGGCCGCCCCCCCGGAGCTCGCCTGGCAACGGCTCCAGCCACAGCGGCGGCCCTGGTCCAGGTGAAGGAGGCCGCCCGGGGACCCGGGAAGGCGGGAGCCCACGCCCCCGGGGCTGCTCTGCCCCTGCCGTCCCTCGCCTGAGGCCTGTGGAGCCCAGCGGGGGTGGCCTTGGTGGGGCGCAGGTCGCGCTGGGGCCTGACGCCGCCCCCTCTCGCCCCCGCAGACCCTACGCGGGGGCGCGGCCATAGCGTCATCAATGTCATCGTCCCCGAGGGCCGGGCCCACTTCTTCCAGCAGCTGGGCTACGTGTTGGCCACGCTGCTGCTCTTCATCCTGCTGCTGGTCACCGTCCTCCTGGCCGCCCGCAGGCGCCGCGGAGGTGAGGCTGCCTCGCAGAGCCAGCAGCTCCAGGAGACTCAGGGGGGCGGGGGGCGGCCCTCTGGAATGGCGGACTTGTGGAGAGGGCGGCACTGCCCCTGATATGTCTCCTTCCCAGGCTACGAATACTCGGACCAGAAATCGGGAAAGTCAAAGGGGTGAGTGGCCCCCTCCCGACCCTCCTAGGGACCAGCCTCCCCCTGACCGCCCCGCCCCGCCCCGCAACCAGCTGTAACCTCCTCCCACCCTCGCTTTCCAGGAAGGACATGAACTTGGGAGAGTTCGCTGTGGCTGCTGGGGACCAGATGCTTTACAGGAGTGAGGACATCCAGCTAGGTGAGGGGTGCTGGGACACCAAGGCACAGGTGCGGCTCTTAGGCCTGGGCTGGGAAGTGCATCCTGGGAGAGGACCTCAGCCTGCTCTCCTCCCACAGATTACAAAAACAACATCCTGAAAGAGAGAGCGGAGCTGACCCACAGCCCCCCACCCGCCAAGAACGTTGACCTAGACAAAGGTGGGGGGGGTCACCTCAGCCCATCTCAGAGCCTGCCCTTCCCCCCACTCCACCTCACCCGGGATCCCCGGGGGCCCTGCCACCTCCGGCTCAGAAGCTGGGGAGTGCTGCTGGGGGTCTGGGTGCCTCCCACTGGGATGAGGTGGAGAGCAGACACCGACCCCTGGTACCCTTGGCTTCCAGGGTTTCGGAAGGAGTATTGCAAATAGGGCGGCCCTGAGCTCCTGGCTGGACCAGCAGCTGTGCCTCTCCTGTCTGTGCCCCTCAGGGCGTCTCCTGATGTCCTGGGCTCGCCCCCTTCTAGCGGCTGGTCCCGCTTTCCTGGAACTTGGCCTGGGCATGTGCAGAGGTCGCCCCCACACCCCTCTTCCAAGGGTTTGGTGGCCGAATAGCCCCCGCCCCTTCAGCCTTTGCTCACTGGTGGCCCTGCCCACCCCTGGCACAACAAAGATCCCCCTGATGCCCATCAAGCCCTCAGACCCTCCTGGCTTCTGCCCACTGGGGGGCTGAAGACATTCCCAGAAGACTCTTGTCAGAGCCTGGCAGCCTGGAAGCTGTGGTCAGCCTCAGGGAAGGAGTCCCCACTCCTCCCGGGATGCTGCCTGACGCCCAGGGCTCCCAAGGGCTCCTCTGCCTGTGCCATGCACAAGTCCAGGCACCATCTGTTCTGCCCAGGGACCTGGTGACTGGCCCCGCTGTGCTGCTTTGGGCCACCTGGGGCTGCACCCCCTGCCTTTTCTCTGCTTCCACCCTACCCTAGCCTTGCTCTCAGCCACCTGACAGTCACTGGGCTCCCTGTGACTTCTGACTTGACACTCCTCCCTCGGCCCCTGCCTGGGCTGGAGTCTGGAGCTGGGGCCATATTTGGCTTCTGTACTGGCTGAAGACAGGGGAGGGGGTGAAGGTGGTTTGGGGTGGCTGGTGTTGCCACTCTCAGCACCCCATGTTTGCACCTGCTGGTGGAGCTCCCACTATCACAATAAAGTCCACATCTGATTTTTAGACTTGGCCCGGGTATGCCTCTGAAATCCTCCCCGCCCCCCACATGCCTTCCTCTCTCCAGCTGAAGCCCCTGCCATGGCGCAAAAGGTCTGGGTCTGGGTCCTCTGGGAGCCAGTGTCCTGGGAAGGGGACATTTGGGCTAGTTCTGTGTGGCGTGCCTCTGGTCATGAAGGAGTTGAGATCCTCTTGAGGGTGGACCTGGACGTGGGGAGGGGGCGTGCATGGTGGTGGCTGTGAGAACCCAGGGGAGCAGCTCTCTGAGACACACCAGTGGGATGTACTGGGAGTGGGAGTAGCAGGATGCGGGTCAGACACTTGTAAAGGGGGCCAGAACAAGGAGGCTCCCGCAGAGGCAGCCGGAACAGCAGGGCAGCTCCAAAAGAGTCCTGGCCAGGCCAGCTCGGACCCGGCCCTAGAATTCTTTCCCGCTCAGTTATAGGCTGGTCTGACCCAGAATCTCAGCACAAGTTCAGAGGGGGAGGTGGGGGCAGGAGGGCCCCGCGGCCCGGGGTCCTGGCAGCACAGACCAGCGACAAAGGGCTGCTTCTTGAGGCCGGCGTCACCACCCAACCCCATCCTCCAGTCCTCCCAGGACAGTGGGGATGGAAAAGGGTAAGGTGGCCCATGAGGACCCCACAGCAGCACAGGTGGGGAGGGAGGCTGATCTGGGGAGGTGTGGCTTGAAGATACACCTTCCTCCCAGCCCGGTGACCTCTGGCCCCACCAGTGCCCACAACGTCACTGGACAAGGTCCTTCCTGGCAGGGCCCTAGCTGGACCACGTCTGCCAGCACCGGAACTGGCCTCAGGCCTCTGGCTTCCAGCCTCTTTATTAACTTGTCTGGGATCAGGCCCCGGCATGTGTGGCTCCTCCTCCTCTGCTCTGTGGCTGCTAGCGTCTGACCTGGGGCAGGGACTGGCTTCCTCCCTTCCTAGTCCCTCAGCAGACGGCCCTCTGAGGTCTTCCTGCCTGGCTTCCAACGTCTGGGGAAACCAAGGGCTGCGGAAGGTGGCCCAGGCTCCAGGCACAGTGGGCTGGCTGCCGAGCTGGCCGGGCTTGGCTGGGTGGACGCCACGGCTCTCCCGCCCAGAGCCGGGGTGCAGGCAGGGCCAGGACACCGGGTCCAGCTTGACCGTCCAAACGCGGGGGCCTGCACTGGGTGATGGGTTTCTCTCTGAGGCGTTGCAGCCCCGGGCATGGTCATGGCCCGACAGATGCGAGAGTCCCAGAATCCTGCCGGCTTCGTGGGGACGGGGCCTAAGGGGCTCCACGAGCATCCACGCGCCCCCTTCCCCCTTGCTCCAGTCCTGTGCAGGCCCCTCCTCGCTCTCCCCAGCCTGGGTCGCCCTCTAGTGGCTTCCACGCTGCCTGCTGGGGTCGGGCCGGGAAGGCCTCCAGCCCCGCGGGCCCCGGAGCAGGGAGCCCGGACGCCCAGCGGCATTAGGGGGCTGCTCGGGGTCCCCCCTGTCCTGCAGAGGACCCCAGGACGAAATCCCTCCCGCCGCCGCGCGCTCCGACGCCTCCGTGCACGCCCGTGCCCACGTGCGCGCCGCTCCCGCCCGGCCTGAAGCCCGGACCCCGTGGGACCCGGCAGAGGGCCCTAGAGCCAGGAGCCTTCGCGAGGGCGCAGAGGGACCGGGCGCGTCCCTAAGGTCCCTCCGCCCGCCCCGCGCGCCCCGGCGCCCACGGGCCCAGGACCTGGCCACACAACACAGGGCCTCACCGGGGAAGCTGCGGGCGCCCGAGCGCGCGGCGGGGAGCGCGGGCCCGAGCGCGGGGGCGGGGAAGGGGGCGGGGCGAGCGAGGGCGCCTGCGTCTGCGCCTGCGCAGCCTCTCGCTCCCACCTCGGGCTCCCGTGACGTCACCACCGCGCGCTCGGGCGCCCCCCCGCGGCCGCGCTCAGGGCCCCGGGCCGGGCGGTCCCTTTAACGGCGCGGCCCAAGGGGCGCGGGCGGGAGCGCGGCGGGGCTGTGCGTGCCCTCCGTGCGGCGACCCTTGCGCCGCTCCCGGGCCAGGGGCGGATGGGCGGCCGTGGGCCGCGGGGCAGCAGTCGGGACGCGCGCGGGAGCCGGGGGCGGCGGCCGAGGCCTGGGCGGTCGGGCGAGGGCGCCCGGGGCCCTCGGCGCGGCGGGGCCGGGAGCGGCGCGGGCCGGGCGGGGCGCAGGCGGGCGGGCGGGGAGCGCCCGCGTCCGAGCCCCGGGCCGGGCCCTGAGCGCGCGGGCTCCGCGCCGCCGCCGCGCCATGGCGGAGACCAAGATCATCTATCACATGGACGAGGAGGAGACGCCGTACCTGGTCAAGCTGCCCGTGGCCCCCGAGCGCGTCACGCTGGCCGACTTCAAGAACGTGCTCAGCAACCGGCCGGTGCACGCCTACAAATTCTTCTTCAAGTCCATGGACCAGGACTTCGGGTCAGTCGGCCGCCGGGCCCACGCGAACCTGGCGCGGGCTCGGGGCGGGAGTCCGGGGCCGCCCGCGCTCCCGAGACCTGAGACCGCGACGCGCCTCTGCCAGGTGCGGCGGGGGTGGCGGCCTCGGCCCGCGAGCGGCGCGCGCCCACCTGTCCGTGAAGCCGGGCAATGTGGCAGGCGGGGGTCCAGGCCGGGGTCGGACCCCGTCGGCCGCGTTTCTTCCGTCGGTGCGGGCCGGGGTCAGGGGCGTGTCAGAGGGAAGGAAGCAGGGAGGGGTTCTCCAGCCGGGATGGAGAGACTGAGGGGACAGGTTCACCGACCTGCCTGCTAGGGTTTACGGAAGCTTCGAGAGGCCCAAGACAGGTCGCCCCGGTCCCCTTCTCGGTCCCTGTGACAGGGTCGAGGCCAAGGACCACTGGTGTCCGTGAAACTTTATTCACTTGCCCCTGCTGTGACCTTCCTGTCGGCCCTTGTCCCCGCTGAGCCACAGAGCAACGCAGGCCAGCGGCTGTTTCCGGGCAGCCTGGGTTAGCGACTCAGCGCTGGGCCTCGGTGGTGGCAGCCCCGGCTGAGGAGACCCCTGCTGTGCTGAGCTAGGCCCTCTGGGACGGGGAGCAGGAGGCCTGGCCCTGCCCGGCCAGCGGTAACCTGAGTCCTGAGTCCCGGCTCAGCACTACCGGGGACGGTAGGCCCCATCGGCCTAGCAGGTGAGCCTGGCCGCTGTCCAGCAAGCTGTGTTCTTGTGTGTGGCCGTGTACTGGGACTGTGACATTAAGGCTGTTTGCTGGATTCTGTGGTTGCAGGGTTCCCCAGCAGCCCCAGGTCCCGTCAAGTTGGGTCCCCGCTGGGGCTGTCTGGGCCCAAGGGACATCTGGACAGCTGCACTTTCCTTCCCCACCCCCCCCCACCAGGGTGAAGCAGAGAGGGCAGGGTGCGTCCTTGGCAGCCTCTGAAGGCTGGGCGCTCCCCGCTCAGTTCGGCAGCCCTCCTGCCCGCTCCCGTGGTTTGTTTTCTGAGTCTGGTGGGTGCCTCCCCCTCTGGGGGACCTTGCAATCCCTGCTTCTCTGGGCCTGGGCTTTGGCCTTGAGCGTGGAGTTTGTGTCAGCACACTTTTGTTTTTGTTAGTTTATTATCATTACAAGTTAGCAGAGTCACCAGTGTTCTTTGTCACAGACGTGTGCTGCCAGGAAATGTGTGGTGAGGAGGTGCCCAGCCCCCAGGTTCCTGCCCCTGGACCATGCTCCGGGTGAAGCCCTGGGAGAGCTTGTCTTCTGCTTCTGACACCCACCAGGAGCTGCCCAGGGGAGAGACAGCCTGGCTGCTGCCCCTGTGCACTTCCAGCAGAGGCTGTGCCTGCTGGGCACACGTGGAGGACCTGCGGGTGCCGGGCCTGGGAGCACGGTAGGCAGGTCTGGGTGTTGAGGCAGGCTTGGTGATGAGGGCAGGGAAGAGACAGGGGAGCTTCAGTGTACAGCTGTGGAGGCTGCAGGCTCACGGGGGCTGGGAGGCACTGGGGCTGTGGAGGTCAGGGTTGGGCTGATTGTGGGGGTTGGAGGGATGGACTGGGGTGTTGCTGGAGGCACGAGACTGGGGCTTGCTCTGTGTCCTCTGGCTGGTGGCTTCAGGAGCCTACAGAGAACCTCTATCAGCTGCTTGCTTCTCCCTCCCCCGAGTCGTCCCAGCAGAGCTCTCAGCACTGCTCTGTGGACTCTAACCCTGGGGCAGGGCTGGTCATTCACTCACACTCTAGCTTAAGCGAGAGCTGAGCTAGACACTAGCCCTGGATGCCAAGTGCATGCAGCTGGAGGCTGGGGGAAGAGGAGGCAGGCCCTGGCTGGTCTGCGGTGGCTTCCACGAGAGAGGGAGCCTCAGGCTGGAGACCTCTAGAGGCCCTGAGTCGGGGCTCCCTGTGCCAGTCCCTGCTACACTCAGCCCAGCCCTGGTTCCAGAGCACGGCTGACCACCTTGCAGTGCAGGGAGCCTGGGTCGTGGCCACAGCCACGTGCTCTGGACTGGGCCCTACTCCCTATGCACGGCTTTGGCCCAGTAGGGGAAGGTCCTCCACCTGTCATCTACTTTTCATGCCCTGGTCACGGGTATTCTGACCCCGGAGAGAACTAGGGAGGGTCTCTGCCTGATGCTGAGTTTAGTAGTTGGCAGGGGTCTCACCCAGCCTTTGGCTGAGGCGGAGGAGGGACAGTGCTGGGCTCCCGGTCCCCGCTGCTGGGTGTGTGGCACATGCCGGGCCTGCTGGACTTGGAACTGAGCCCGTCCGTTGGGGACAGCTCCCGCAGTTCATCTCTGAGGCGGGGGTGACCCAGGCCCAGGGGCTGGGGGTTGGGTAGAACCAAGACTGTGGCTTCAAAGCCCTGGTCCCCAGGGCCGCCTCCCATGGGCCTGGGTGCTGTGACAGCTCCTTGTGCCCTGGGTGGTGCTGTGTGGACTGTGGAGTCGGGGAGGCTCTGCCTGGCTTGGACTGCTAGGGGAGCTCCCACTCCACTCTCCCTGTTTGGGGCCTGCAGCTCAGCCTCTCTGTGCCCCGAATGCCTCTCTGGTGTTGGAAGAGTCCAGGCAGTGCACCTCTGGACTCAGAGACACGGCCCAGCAAGGACACTTGAGCCTGTGTGGCCTGAACCTGGGGAGGGGCTCAGAGAGACCCCAGGACTCAGCACCACCCAGGGGACAGGCTGCTGGGAGAGCTGCTGGTTCTGGGATCACAGATTGGGAGGCCATAGACCCCCAAGGCTGAGGGCCCCGACCTGGGGGATGCACAGAGGGCTCTGAATGCATGGGACGCCTCTGTGCCTCCTGGCCTGGTCCAGCTATCCCTGCCAGCTTCCTGCTCTACCTTGGGGGAATGGGGTGCAGTTGGGGCCATGCCACATGGGGGGCAGCTGGCTGTGGCCTCTGGGAGATCAGAGTCTTCTGTGGCCAGTGTGGCCATGCTGGCTCCCGTGGCACTGTGTCTGAGTGGATTCCTCGCCAGGGTGGGTCTGTGGAGGCAGCATGCAGAGGTTAGCTGGGCCTCACGGGGAGTCCTGAGGTGGGGGCACAGAACTAGCAGGGGCAGCCCTGTCAGCTGCTCTGAGTTTCCACAGAGGCTTCTCCAGAGGTGCAGGGAACCCGGGTGGTGGATGCATCCCCCATGCCTGGCCAGCCTCCGGCACCCTCCCCCAACTGGCTGGGGTGGGGAGGGCAGGGCTCTGCCTGAGGCCTGGGTCTCTGCCCCCTGGAGCCCCAGGCAGGCCCCACCCTTCCTTCTTCGCTGTTTGGGTTCGGCTGCCGACCTCCTGACCCAGCAAGGCTGGGGTCTGCACCCTGCCAGGGGCAAGGCAGGACTCGTCACCCGGTTGGGCTGAAGAAGGTGGAGGCAGTAGGGCCTCTGGGCCCTAGCTGAGTGTCTGTGCAGGGGCAGGGGGCAGGGACATCTCAGGCAGCCTGGTGTCTTCATGCACTGCCCTGGGGTCCCTCATGTCCAAGTGTCTCCCTCAGATGAGTCAGAGGGTGCTGGGGTTGGGTGTGGCAGTGGAGAAGCTGCTGCCGGCCAGGCCACCTGCAGCCATGTGTCAGGGGCTGAAGTAGGGACCCTGCCAGGGTCTCTGCTGTGGCCAGACCCCTCAGAGGTAGGGCCTCACTGTGGGCCCTGGCCCCCTGGCTGCCGCTGGCGGTGGACTGGTGTCCATGGGGCCCGCCTCACCCTTGGTTGCTCCAGCCTTCCAGGTGTGACAGCACCTCATGGTGGCTCCCTCATCCTGGCATAGGGTAATGGCTTACCTGGGAAGCTGGCTCTCCTCCTCAGGGCTGTGGCTCCTGTGTGGGGCAGCAGACATGAAGGGGTCTGAGAAGTGATCCTCTCTGCTCTTTGGGGGCACCCACCTCATGGCAAAGTGGCTGCAGGACCCCAGAGGGCTGGGGAGGGGTGTCTGCTCCCACCCAGGCTGGCCCTGCCTGCTGTCCACTCTGCCCTGAGGCCTAGGGCCTCCTCCCAGCAAGTGGGTGGGCCAGGGCTTCCGCCCGGGTTTGCTGCTTTGCCGGGGGCTTCTGCTACCTGCTGCTGCTGGGGCCTGGCTGAGTCAAGGTGCCTGGAGCCAGGGGGCCTGGAGCGGCCAATAGGGGTGGCCCTACAACTGGCAGTGGGCGTGGTAGCCATAGGCCACTGCCTGCCAGGTGTGCACCCAGGCTGAGCCCGGTCTCCAGGCTCCCATTTCTCTACTGGGCTGAAGTCCCAGTGTGGAAAATCCTGCTGTACTGGGCATGGCAGGGTGCCAGGAGGTGGACTTCCAGATCCTACCCGGCCTGTTGCTTGGGCCCCCCTAGAGGTCACGGTGTGAGTGTTGGCCCTAGCCCTGCCTGCCTTGCCCCTTGGCCTGGGGACCTGCTCCTGCCCAGCCACCCCTCTGCGCTGTGTGGGTTACCACCCTGCCCTCTGAACTCTGAGCTCAGGTCACCTGGCCTCCTCCTGGTTCGTGTCCCATGACCCTCTGTAGCCTGCCTGGGTGCCCTCTGCCCCATTCCCAAGCCCATCTGACTGGGGGGTGGCATCTAGACACTGGGTGAGGCAGCTGGCCAGCTTGCTCTCCTGGCAGCTCTGCCAGCTCTGTGGCCCCTGCTGCCCTTCTATGTCTTGAGGTGTGGGGAGGCATGGTGGGGGGGGGTCTTCATCTCCCTGGGTAGGTGGACAGGACATGAGGGTGGTGGGCTGCCTCTTGGGGTCTCTGTGCCCTCCCAGCCCACCTGTGTCTGTCTGTCAGGTCTGAGCATCCTTGTGTGTGGACTGTGAGCCTGACTTGGAGTGGAGGGCAGGGGCTAGGCAGAGCCCCACCCTCACAGAGCCTGACTCCGGGCAGGCAGGCACAGGGCCTGGGAGCAGGGCGGTATGGCGTGGCCAACCTGATGGAGAGGAGAATGACAGGTCTTAGTGTAGGGTCAGGTGCATGTGGCCTGATGCCCTGAGTGCTGAGGGGTCGGGGGCTGGTCTGGAGCTGGCTGGAGGTGGAGTGGTAGACCTGTGGTCTGGGGTGAGAGACAGGGAACAGCCTGAGGAGCCTTGGCCCCCAGTAGGTGCAACTGCTGTTGCTGAGGAGGCTGGGGCCCAGCCTTGAGGAGTCCCAGTGTGGGGGCAGCCCTGAGGGGTCATGGCCTCCAAGCCCAGGGGTCAGATGAGATGGGGGTGGTTGGGGACAGGCCTGGACGGCGTCTGAGGCCACCTCATGGATGAGGTGAACTGTGGAAAGCTGGGCACAGGGGCTTTCCCAAGGAGTCCTTACCTTAGCTGTCTCCTGGGGGCTGGGGCCGATGGACCAACACTGCAGGGACTGGGAGCCTTTGGCTGAGCCTCCTCTGTGGGGCTGGTGGGGTCGGGCAGAGGCCCAGGATGTGACAGAGGAAGGACGGTTCCCAAGAGGAGAATGCAGTCATGGGGGCGTCCGCAGAGTGACATTGCCCACATGGGGGATGCGCCTGCTCTCCGGGCCCCAGGCTTCAGCCTCACCTGTAGAGCTACAGGGTTGGGCCCCCAGGTGGGGCCTCATGGCCGCATCTGCCCACAGGGTGGTGAAGGAGGAGATCTTGGACGACAACGCCAAGCTGCCCTGCTTCAACGGCCGCGTGGTCTCCTGGGTGAGCCCCCGTGTCCTGGCCCCAACTGCTCACCTGGGGAGCGTTCCAGGATGGGGCTCTTCCTGGGGAGGCGGTGCTTGTGGGAGGCCCTGGCAGGCTGGATGCAAATAGGGAATGGTGCTGGTCCCCTGCACCCTGGCTGCTCTGAGGAGGCGTCCTGAAGGCAGGTGGGCTGCCCTGAGTGTGCCTGCTCCCTCCACAGCTGGTCCTGGCTGAGGGTGCTCACTCAGATGCCGGCTCCCAGGGCACGGACAGCCACACAGACCTGCCTCCACCTCTTGAGCGGACAGGTGGCATCGGGGACTCCCGGCCCCCCTCCTTCCAGTAAGGACACCGCAGGGGCTCAGCCCTGCTACCCCAAGCCCATCATGAGGGCCGCTGGCTGGAGGGAGGGAGCCCTGCCTGGGCCAGTGGGTGGGCGTGGCACCTGCTGGGGCTGGGGTCCCATGGCCGAGGGGTGGCTGGACTGGGAGGCAGATGCCTCCCCACCCCACCCTGCTCTTATTGCACAGCCCGAATGTGGCCAGCAGCCGTGATGGGATGGACAATGAGATGGGCACGGAGTCCATGGTCAGCCACCGGCGGGAGCGTGCCCGCCGCCGGAACCGCGAGGAGGGTACAGTGATCATGTCTGCCCAGCTGTGGGCCCCCAACCTCCCTGGGACCTCATGATACACCCACATTCTTACCACATCATTCCTGCCCCCCAGCCAGTGGAGATGTCTAGTAGAGGCTCAGACCCAGCCAGCGAGCTGTCAGCTCCCAGACCCACAGGCGTGCAACACTGCCCAGACGGCCCCAAACCCGTGACCTCTGGGAGACCTCCCAGTCAGCTCCCAACCTGCTGCCCCCACAGCCACCCGGACCAATGGGCATCCAAGGGGAGACCGGCGGCGGGATGTGGGGCTGCCCCCAGACAGCACATCCACTGCCCTGAGCAGCGAGCTCGAGTCCAGCAGCTTTGTGGACTCAGATGAGGATGGCAGCACGAGCAGGTGTGTGTACGTGATGCGCATGGGTCTTCACACTGCATGTCTGTGTGTGCACGTATGCGAGCTGGGGTGCAAATGTCTGTACGTGATGTGCACGTGTCTGTGAGGTGTTTTCACACTACACACGTGTCTGCCTGTGTGCATGTATCTGTACACGTCCCTGTACATGTTGCTCATGTGTCTGCTTGTGCACATGTGCGTGACGTTTTTGCCTTGTGCACGTGCCTGTGTGCAGATGTACATGAGCATGTGTCTGCTTGTGAGGTGTTTTCACAATGTGCACGTCACCTCAGCCCCCACAGCTGTCTCTCCCCGAAGTTCCTGCAGACCCACCACAGCCTCATGTCTGTGCGCAGGTGTGTGCACATGTGCAGGTATGCCTGTGTGCAGGTGCCCAGGTGTGTGCATGCCAGTGGGTGTGCAGGTGTAAGTGCATGTGTGCCAGCGTACTGTGTGGGTGTGTACCAGTGTGTGTGCAGGTGTACGTGTGCCAGTGTGCCCATGTGTAGGTGTGCGTTTGTGCCAGTGTGTGTGGGGTGTGTGTGCACTTATGTGCATGTGTGCCAGTGTACACATATGTGGGCAATGTGCATATGCAGGTGTGCGTGCACAGGTGTGGGTGTATACAGGTGTGTACACACCAGGGAGTGCAGGCGTGTGCACGCCAGTGGATGTGTGAAGGGTGTGCATGCCGTGTGCAGGTGTGTGTGCTAGTGTACGAGTGTGCAGGTGTGTGTGTGCCAGTGTGCATGTGTGTCACTACGTGTGTTCAGGTGTGCATGTGCAGGTGTGTGCACACAGATTGTGTGGGTGTGCAGGTGTGTGCACGCCAGGGGGTGTGCAGCTGTGTGCATGCTGTGTGCCAGTGTGTAGGTGTGTGTGCCAGTATACTGTGTAGGTGTGTGTTCGTGCCAGTGTGTGTGCAGGTGTGAGTTTGTACTGTATACGTGTGCAGGTGTGTGTGCACACTTAAGTGCGTTTGTGCATGTGTGTTGGTGTACGTGTGTGGGCATGTGTACAGGTGTGCATGTGCAGGTGTGCTTGTGTGTGCAGGTGTGCGTGCACAGGTGTGCTTGCGCAGGTATGCTTGTGTGCAAGTGTGCACAGGTGTGCATGCACACAGGTTTGCATGTTTGCAGATATGCATGTTTGTGGGGTGTGTGCAGGTGTGTGCAGGTACATGTATGTGTGCAGATATGTGTAGATGTGTATAGATGTGTGTGCACAGGTGTGCGTGCATGTAGGTGTGCATGTGTGTGCATGTTTGCCAGTAACTGAGCTGGCTACATTTGTTTGTGTCTCTATTTGCCTGTCTCTGGGGTTTTTGTGTGTGTCCATATGCACATCATGTTTGCAGGACTTGGGGTGTGGATGTCAGGCGCTGAGCCTGCTCTGGAGCAAGCCTGGCCTGGGCCCCCCAGTTCCCAGCTTCAGCTCACCCAGCACTGGGGGCAGAGTTCCATCCCCCATTTATGTTACCAGCTCCTCTGAGCTCTGATGTCCTGTCCCCAGGCTGAGCAGCTCCACGGAGCAGAGCACGTCATCCAGGCTCATCCGGAAGCACAAGCGCCGGCGGAGGAAGCAGCGCCTGCGGCAGACGGACCGGGTAGGGGGCGGGGCAGGGTAGGGTCTTGGAGGGTGAAGGCAGCGTCGGGCAGCCCTGTTCCCCTCACATGCTCCCCACTCCTGTCCACAGGCCTCCTCCTTCAGCAGCATTACGGACTCCACCATGTCTCTCAACATCGTCACCGTCACGCTCAACATGGGTGAGGTCTCAGGGCGAGGGTTGGGGGGCAGGGGTGGGGGCTTGGCCATGGCTCACTGCCTTTCCCGCAGAGAGACACCACTTCCTTGGCATCAGCATCGTGGGGCAGAGCAACGATCGAGGAGATGGTGGCATTTACATAGGTTCCATCATGAAAGGCGGGGCAGTGGCCGCTGATGGCCGAATTGAGCCCGGGGACATGCTGCTGCAGGTGGGGCTGCAGGGAGGCGTGAGGCTGTGGGTGGGGCTGCAGGGACTTCGGGAGACATGAGGCTGCGGGTGGTTCTGTGGGACTTCCGGAGACGTGAGGCTGCAGGTGGGGCTATGGGGTGACTTGCGGCTGTGGGGGCTGTGGGGGCTGTGGGCTGAGCTCACACCCTGCCTGCACCACCCTAATCCCCACCCCTGCAGGTGAACGATGTGAACTTTGAGAACATGAGCAACGACGATGCCGTGCGGGTTCTTCGGGAGATCGTGTCCCAGACAGGGTGAGGGCTGGGGGTGCTGAGGAGGGAGGGGCCGGGCAGGGAGGTGGGGACCGTGACACTCTTGCTGTGTGACCACTACTCCTGCAGGCCCATCAGCCTTACCGTGGCCAAGTGCTGGGACCCAACACCCCGAAGCTACTTCACTGTCCCAAGGGGTGAGTGGCCCTTGGAATACACGGGGCAGGGTGGGTATGGGGCGCCTGCCGAGCCTGAAGGCCTCTCTCCTCTGCCCTGTGCTCTGCCCTCCCACCCCGTCCATCTGTCCTCCTGTCATTGCCACATGGTGGCCACCCAGCTGACCCGGTGCGGCCCATCGACCCTGCTGCCTGGCTGTCCCACACGGCGGCACTGACGGGAGCCCTGCCCCGCTACGGTACGAGCCCCTGCTCCAGCGCCGTCACACGCACCAGCTCCTCCTCACTAACCAGCTCCGTGCCTGGTGCTCCGCGTAAGTGGCAGCTCCCAAGGGGCCCAGCAGAAACAGGCTTGGAGGGCGAGGCTCTGCCAGCCTCCAGCATGGCCTCCTGGGCTGTCACGGGGACTGTCCCCAACACCCTGCACAGATGTGTTTTCACAGGCACCTGTGCCCACCTTGCGCAGCCCCGCCCTCCGTTCACCATCTGTGCGTTGGGAGCAGGGGATGTATGTAGGTCCCTGTGAGGGGTGCACCCAGGGGGTCAGAGGCAGTGCCCGGTCTCCACTCTGCTTCCTGCCACTAACACGACTAACAGCCTGCGCTTTCAGGGGTGGAGCATGCGGGGAGGGAGGGGATGGGGCCTGCCCCATTCTCATTATGCTGTGGTCTGCAGGGAGGGGTGTTCTCAGTCCAGTTTGCACCTAGGATCCTGATGAGAAGTGTCTGCAAGAGTGGGAGACAAATGTCCGGTCCCCCTGCCCACATCCCAGCCTCATGGGGGTCCATCCTGTGAGGGGCAGGGCCTTGCTGTCACGCATGCTCCAGCCTGGGCCGCTGTGCAGCCTCCACCCAGAGGCTACCCTGGGCCGTGGGCCTGCAGCCTGTCTGCACTGGGGCTGAGGGGGGCTGTGCCTTGCAGAGCTGGAGGAGGCGCCGCTGACGGTGAAGAGTGACATGGGCGCCGTCGTCCGGGTCATGCAGCTGCCAGACTCGGGACTGGAGATTCGTGACCGCATGTGGCTCAAGATCACCATTGCCAACGCCGTCATTGGTGAGTGCCCCTCCCCACTGGCCGACAGCGCCAGGGGTGGGGATGCATGCCTCAGGGCTTCGGGCTGACTGCTGGTGCTGGCCAGGAGCGGACGTGGTGGACTGGCTGTACACACATGTGGAGGGCTTCAAGGAGCGGCGGGAGGCCCGGAAGTATGCCAGCAGCTTGCTGAAGCATGGCTTCCTGCGGCACACGGTCAATAAGATCACCTTCTCCGAGCAGTGCTACTACGTCTTCGGGGACCTGTGTAGCAGTGAGTGAGAGCTTTGGGATTGGGGCGGGGGGTCTTGGCCCATGCGAGGCCCTCACCCACCCTCCCCCGCCAGATCTCGCGGCCCTGAACCTCAACAGTGGCTCCAGCGGGGCCTCGGATCAGGACACACTGGCCCCGCTGCCCCACCCGACCACCCCCTGGCCCCTGGGTCAGGGTTACCCCTACCAGTACCCGGGGCCCCCGCCCTGCTTCCCACCTGCCTACCAGGACCCGGGCTTTAGCTATGGCAGCGGCAGCACTGGGAGTCAGCAGAGCGAAGGTGAGCGCCCCACCCCCGCCCTGCCCTCTCCTGTCCCTCCCTGGCTCTGCCCCCAGCTTTGCCCCACCCCACTGCTGCTCTGCCCCCAGCTATGCCCTGCCCCCCAGCTCTGCCCCACTTAGCTGCTATTCCCCAACCCATGGTCCTGCTGTGTGCTTGGGCCCTGGGTGGGCTTCTTCTGGAAGGGGCAAGTGCCAGGGGGACCAGGGAGCCAGTGTGAAAGGGGAGGGACAGGGAAGTGTCTCACACAGGCAGCCTGGACCCCACCTCACCTGGGTGGGGTTGAGAAGGGGTCCTCTGGGAGCCTGAAGGCCTGGGTGACTATGCCTGGCAGGGGTGGTGACTGGTGCTCTTCCTGTGGTAGAGGCAGGAGGAGGCCACGTGACAAAGGCTGTGTGACAAGGACAGGGCGGGGTGGCCACGGTCAGGCGGGGTCACTTTCCAGGCCTCAGGACACAGGAGGGTGGCAGCTGCAGCCCGGGCAGGGAGCCCATGTGGACAGTGCCATGCACAGCCACGCACCCGTGGCTGGGATGTACCGGAGGATCCAGGGTGTCCCTGAGGGGTGGCCTGGTAGATGGGGTTGGTGAGGCCAGTAGGGTTTCTGCAGGCCAGGACAGGGTGCAGATGGCAGCCCAGAGGGCCTAGGAAGGACAGAGAGAGAGGAGAAGCTGCTAGAGGGCGTGGGGCTGCAGAGAAGCCATGCTGGGTGTCTGCTGACCCTGGACTGGCCCTTGCACCCACTTAAGCCCCACCCAGCCCACAATCAGGCCCCACTGGTGGCGGGTGGGTGCCAGGTGGGTGCTAGGCGGGTGCTAGGCGGCGGGCGTGTAACTCGTGCTATCCCTTGCCTTGTGCTGAACAAGCCTTAGACTGAAGGACTAGCGGAGTGGAGCCTTGGGCCGGTAAGCCAGGGTCCCTCCCGGCGTCCCTCTCAGCATGTCCCCACCTGGCCACATCCTCTGGCTCCCACTGCGTCTCGGGAGCCTGGGACGGGGCTGAGCTGAGTTATCCGTCGGCCAGGGCCCTGGGTTGGGGGGACAGTGGGGCCTCGGGTGGGGAATCCAGGATGGCCATGGGGGCACTGGGCACACGGGGCCCTCACTGGCACCTCAGTCTTTCAGCTGCAAGACCAGGCCCTCAGCTCAAGCATCAGGGTGAGGCATGGGGGCGCCCAGCTCACTCCGGAACCCCGCCTGCCTGCCACTGCCCCCACCAGCCTCTGCCTGCTGCAGCTGCCCCTGCAACCCTGGGGGTGATGCCCTGTCCTCGCACCTGCTTGGCTGTCCTACCTACCTGGCCTGCTCAGGCCACCGCTCCTGCCCAGTCACCTGGCAGGGGGTGGTTGTTCTGGATGTGACTGAGCCTGGCACTGATGGCCTCCTTCCCCCTCCTGTTCTCACCCCCAGGGAGCAAGAGTAGCGGGTCTGCCCGGAGCAGCCGCCGGGCACTGGGCCGTGAAAAGGAGCATCGGGCGGCAGGAGCCGGGGGCAGCGGCAGCGAATCGGACCACACGGCACCGAGTGGGGTGGGCAGCAGCTGGCGGGAGTGTCCAGCTGGCCAGCTCAGCCGAGGAAGCAGCCCACGCAGTCAGGCTTCAGCCACTGCCCCGGGGCTTCCCACACCCCACCCCGTGACCAAGGCCTATACGGTGGTCGGGGGCCCACCGGGGGGCCCGCCTGTCCGGGAGCTGGCCGCTCTCCCCCCGGAATTGACAGGCAGCCGCCAGTCCTTCCAAAAGGCCATGGGGAACCCCTGTGAGTTCTTTGTGGACATCATGTGATCTGTGGTGCCCACAGTCCTGCCTGGAGCAGGGAGCTGGCAGTCCTGGTGCATGCAAAGCTCGAAAGGGCTAGCCTTAGTGGGGGCAGGATGGACCATCGCAGTCATCTGCCTGACAGCCTGGCGGCTCCGGCTCCTGGAAGCAGCTGTGTCTGAGCAGTTGCGTTGGGGTGCTCCCTCTTTGCTCCTCAGTGAGAGCCTTGGGGACCTCCCAACCCCTTGTGTCTGGTGGTGACCCCTCCTAAGACGAGGAAGACTCCCTTGGGCTCCGGGCTGACCCCCATACCTCCTGCACAGTGGTGCACAGGACCCCTGAGGGACCCATGAGGTGCACGCCTGCAGTGCACAGGCCCATCCCTCTGACCCCAATGGGGCCTCCTGTCGGTGGAGCAGAGCCCCCAGGTCCCTCCTGCTGTCTGGGGTAGGGATCTAATTTATTTATTTATTGCCTGGCTGGTGCCTCGGTGGAGGAAGTGGCCCTACCACCTGTCCCACCCACCCCCACCCTTTGGAGCAGCCTGCACCTTCCCACCTCTCCTTCAGCCACACAGTCGAGTCTGAATGTGTGGAGGACAGGACGTCCTGCCCACCGCATCCCAGCCAGGGCAGAGGGTCTGTGGTCCTCAGGGTCAAGGGGCCCCGATGTTCACAGCTGCCACAGGGAGAGAAGTCTTGGGGAGATGAGTGGTCAGCAGGCCTGTCTTTGGTGAACGCACATACGCTGCCCGCACGCACCATGGCCCGCACACTGGCCCCCGTGTCTGCGCTGTAGATAACGTATCAAAGTCCCAGCGTCTAGATGGTTAACATAGAGCTGCTTCTGTGTAAATGCTGTTTATTTTAAACACTAAAAAGCATTTAATTTTATGGGACGGACATGTAGCCTGTGCCCCTTCTGTCTGGCTGGGCTGACTTGGAATGAGGCGTAGGGGACTGGTCAGGCCTCCACGGGGCCCTGCTGGGAGCTGCCCCTGGGACCCTGTGTGGGCCTGGGGGGTTGCTGACCTTGGACTCTGGTGTGCAGTTTTCTGTCCATGGTGCTGGTTCTTGGCTCCAGGTCCCTGCACCAACCCCACTTGGGCTCTGTCCTTTGTTCTGGTGAGTCATGACACTACCCACTGGGCCAGGGGCAGAGAAAGAAGCCAGGTGCCACTCCCACCTGAGGAGGGGGGTCTGTGCTGTGCGAATGCCTGTGTCCCCACACCCAGCCTCCAACTACTCTGGTGCCTGGGTCCGATGCTGGGTGGGTGGGCCCCCCCCAAGGGGCATGGGCTTCCAGCCATCTGGCTAGGGACCTTCCTGCATCTTTTTCCTGAGCTCACAGGGTGGGTTTTGGGGATGCTGGAAGCCCTCCAGGTGTCCTGGAATGGTGGGGCTGGGTCACCTGGGCAGTCCTAGTCTGGGTGGAGAGGGACAGCGACAGAACTCAGCTCTGGGGCCCAGATGGTCATAGGGGTGTCCACATGCTACAGGCTCAGGGATCACTGTGGGGTCAGGGTCAGGCAACAACCCAGGGTCAGAATCTAGAGCTGGAGAGTCTGTAGGGGACACTGGTCATTGCTGGCTTAGGAGACATCTCAACTAGTTCTGGGTTCACCGGGGCTGAGGTCACAGGGGTCAGGGTCACTCAATTTTTCCCTGAGCTTCCTCTGTCCCCACCGCCATTCCAGCGTTGGGCATCCGGGCCCCTCCCAGGAAGAACTCGGGGGTGTTGAGCCCCGGCTGCCACAGGAGCAGGTAACATCTCGGCAGGTGGAAGGCGGCCAGGATGCCCAGGGTGCAAAGCAGGAAGGCGCCCATCTGCATGGCGGGCCTGAGGGCCACCTGCACGTTGGCCAGGAGGGGCACGAAGGAGACCCAGGTGATGAAATAGGCCAGCATGGCAAAGGTGAGGCCACGGGCGCGGTTGTAGCGGCCAGGCTGGCTCTGCACCAGGAAGGTGCCCAGGAAAGAGAGGAAGGCCAGTATGGCATTGGTGGCATGCACCAGGCCGAAGCTGACCCAGGATCGTGTGCAACAGTGTACCAGTGCCTCTGTGGGCAGCACGCGCCAGTCTGTCACCACCTCCGGTGGAAAGGCCAGCAGGTACCAGGCACACAGTGCGGCCTCCACCAGCATGGCCAGCAACACTGCCAGCCAGGCCCGGGAACCCCGCAGGCAGCCCCGCACCCGGTCTGCCCAGCTCTGAGGTAGCTCCGATTCCACAAAGGTCTCGGCTGCCTGCAGGAAGAGCGTGCTCAGGCAGCCTGTAAGTGGGAGATGGGATAAGGGCTGCTGGGCCAGGCAGCGGGCAGGGCTGGGCTGCCCAGGGAACAGGAGGACGCTAAGGCATACCAGGCCCAGACAGACCAGGCCGAAGCAGGCCAGGCCCCCCCCTGAGGCCTGAACTAGTGGGCTGTCCCGATGGTGAATGAACAGCCCCAGGGCAGCCAGCACAAGCCCCAGTGCCAGGCCCAGCAGCAGGAGCAGCAGCAGCACAGCCGGCTCGCTCCATGTCAGGAACCGAGGCCTGCGGCGGAAGCAGCGTGTGCTCCGCTCCGGGGACCACTGGTCGTGGCGGCAAGGGGTGCAGGTGGGGTCGTCTGGGGGAGAAGAAGAGAAGGGGGCTGGGGGCTGGCTTTGCCCCACCTCCCCCGTAGACTCTGGCCTCAGAGCCAGGACTCGGCAGGAACCCTGCCCCCATGCTGCGCTCTGCCTGTGCCTGTCTCACCTGGGTTGCGTCGGTAGCTGCCTGCCTCACAGTCTACACAGTCGTAGCAGCAGGAGTGGAAGCCCTTGACCCGGCGCACCTGGCCCTCCTGGCACTGCCGCGAGCACTGGGACACGGGCTCCTGGACACAGGCCTGGGGTCTGGCTCTGCTCGGTGAGCAACGCCCACCAGAGACTGGGATGGCCCCCACCCCCAGGCTGCGCCCTGCTGGGGAGGCTGCCACGGAGCACGGCCAGCACGCCCACCCTCACCTGGTTGTCGGGTGTGTGCCAGCGCATCTTGAGGCGCTCCGGCCAGAGGCTGCCGTTGAAGACGCCCACGTCATGCAGCTCAGGCACTGGGCCCCGCCACACCCACAGCTTCAGGTCATACTCCACGTCCACGTTCCCGCTGCTGTCAAAACGCAGCGCCAGCCCAGCCGCGTGGAAGGTCATGTTGTACATGTTCTGCAGGAGCTGTGGGCAGGAGACGGGGCTGAGCCGCCAGCCACCTCCAGCCCAGATACCATGGCCCTGCCCGGTGGCCAGGCATGTGCAGAGGTCGGCACAGCCCCTTCTCGCAGGCCCACCTGCCAGGGCTTCACAGGGTCCTGCTTGGGGCAGCCCGAGGCGTTGCAGCGCAGGGTGTTGTGCAGGGCCTGGGCCACACTGTACACAGCTGCGTAGACAGAGAACGTCTGGTGGTGCTGCAGCCTGGTGGACATGTTCTGCAGTGTGACATCGTCACACTGCGGGCAGCGTGGGCCCACCACGTGCTCCTCCAGGCCCTGTTCCCTCTCGCTCAGCGAGGCGCAGAAAGCCGGGTCAGCGGCCAGGGCCAGGTGCGTCTTCACGTACTGGGGGAACTTGGGCAGCTGGGCACCCCTCTGCAGGAAGCCAAGCACTGTGCCCACCTCGGCCATGCCGGGCAGCCCCATGACCAGGTCAGAGGTTAGCCAGGCCTCGCTGGCCACCCACACCTTGGGCAAGAGCCTGCGGTTGATGCTGTGCCTGAAGAAGGCGTGGGCAGCATGCGCGGAGGCAAACAGCAGCACCACCTGTATGCTGCTCTGGTTCACCTGGGGCAGCAGCTCCTGCACCTTGCCCACCCACAGGCCGTCGGCACGGGGCAGCGGCACCAGGCCCTCGTGTGCAATGCAGATGCCGCGTGCCGCAGCCAGGCCTGAGAAGATGCTGAGGCCCTGCCGGCCGTATTCGTCGTCGCTGCCCAGGGCGGCCACCCAGTTCCAGCCAAGCTGCTGCAGCAGCTCCACGGTGGCCATCAGCTGCACACGGTCACTGGGCACCGTGCGGAAGAAGGAGGGGAAGGTCTCCCGGGTGCTCAGCAGGTCCATGCTAGCCCCATAGCTGACCTGCGGGGGCCGAGAGGCGTCTCCTGATGCAGGGGCTCCCACGGGAAGGGCTGGGTGGGGGGTAATGGCGGGGGGCGCCGACCTGGGGCATGAGGAAGAAGCCAAAGAATTTCCCCGTGACCAGGGCGAGCTCTGACGAGTGGGGCCCGATGACGGCCAGCACTCGGGGCTGGTACTGCGTGTAGTTGCAATAGGCGGCGATGTCGTGGCTGTTCACCTTGGCCAGGAACATGAGGCTGGGTTTCATGGTGACCACGGACTCCGAGCACGTGTCAAAGAGGTCGTAGCCCAGGCGCAGCCCTGGCAGCAGGTCTGACTGGTTGTTGATCTCCTCCACGGCCATCTTCATGGCCAGCGCCCAGAGCAGGCCATTCCAGGAGAACCTGGAGCCACATGCAGCTGCAGGCAGCACCCCAGGCCTGTTCACCCTGACCCCCACCCTGGGCTGTTTCCCGTCCGTACCTGGTGCACACGAGGCTGCTGGGCCGCGTCCGGCTGTGGAAGGCAGCCTCCCCGGCCTCACCTAGGGGGAACAGCCCCCCCAGCATGTAATCCCCCTTCATCTTAAGTTGCCGTGACAGGCACAATGGGGCCCCTGTCCTAAGGTGTAGGAGAGCCCAGAGGCTGAGGCCCAGGACAGCGGAGCCCAGCATGGCAGGGGCAGCTTCCAGCAGGCACAGCAGGTGGCTGCCCCGAGTGGTGCCTTACATGTGAGACGGGGGCGGGGGGCGGGCAGAGGATTTGTTTAGCAAAACCCTTGCCATCCTTACCTACCACGTCCTGGGGCCCTGGTGGCAGTCCTTGATTTCCAGGCCTGAAGGTTTGTGCACCTCAGACTTCCTGAGGCCACTGCCAGGCTCTGCAGCCAACACTGATCTGCAGGCGGGCTGTGCTCAGCCACTGGCCTTGGACTTGTTCCCTGCCTGTGCCCGAGCCCCTCGGCACCCTCCATTTCTTGAGCTGCCCGGCAGGCTGTGGTGAGGAGCAGGAGTGGGGGGCCTGGAGGGCTCCGGGGTCTCAGCTGCTGTGGGAGGGGTGCAGAGACACCCAGCTCTAGGCTTTTCACAGGCACAGAAACACCTCCTACCCAGCCCTGGGAGCGTCAGGCTTCCAACTCAAGGCTGTGCTGTCAGGAGTGGAGGGCAGCCGGCTAGTCAGGCCTCCACCCTGCAGCTGGGTGGGGAGGGTTCTGCAGTGGCGGCAGTGACCTCACAGCCTGCTTTGGAGCAGTGTTCCTTGAGGGTCTCTGCCCTGCTGGCGTCTGATGCCTGGAAGCTGTAGGAGTTGCATGGCCAGCTGTCCTCATGCTGCTGACCACTCCTGCCTGGCAGGCACACAGGTGGCTCCTGCTGGGGATGGAGCTCAAGGCTGGACCTAAAGGAGGGGGCCACGCAAATGAGGGAGGAAGGGCCACAGGCAAACGAGTGGCAGCTGGAGCGGAACTAGGTGTATGGTGGGGCTCCACCTCACCTCCTGCTCCTCTGTGCAGGGGGGGCTCCTCCTCTGCCTCACTTTGGGGGTGCCCTTGGGGACACACCAGGCTCCAGGTGCAGACCCTCCGCTGAGGAGAGCTGAGGGGCACTTGACTTCAGCTGGGGCCTGGCAGACCTTGCGGACATTTACCAAGAGGTGCACCCCAGCTGGTGCCTCTTCCCCACAGTGCTGTGAGGGAGGACCCGTGAGGTACACGCATGACCACAGCACACACATACAGCACAAACACATGCACACACACGAGCATGGCACACAACAGGCACAGCACACAGGAGCAGGGCATGTACACATGGTATGCACAACACGGCACAGGAGTGTGGCATATGCACATGGCACACAACACGCACGGCACACATGCTCATGGCACACAGGAGCAGGGCACACCCAGAGCTCTGCAGTCAGCAGCCTTTGCCAGCACCTCATGCAGCTCCCACAGACCCTGAGGTTGGGTGGCGTCCAGGAAGACCCTGCCAAATTGCATTTCCTTTCTGTCCAGGCCTCTGTTGTGGCTGGGAGCAGCCCCTACCTCCACCCACACATCCCACGCAGGCCTCTGCTCTTCTGCACGGAAGCTGACTTTCTCTGCCTTCCCAACCCAGCCTTTTGGCTCTGGATGAGTCTGTCTGTTGCCTCACCTATAAAATGGGCATGACAGGGATCTTTCTACCTCTTTCTGAGGGGGACAGGCATACAGCAGCCCCAGCCTCAAGGCTGGCCTTTTCTCAGGGCGGATGGGTGCACCTGCCTCAGCTGTGTCCCTGGGGTGAGGACCCTCCCCACCCTCACTGGGTACCTGTGTCCCCCCCGGGCAATCAGGCACTCAGCACACCCCAAGGTCCATGGGATGCTGTGATTTATTAACGTTGGAAGACATCAAATGGGTTGCATTCCAAAAGCCTGTGCACCTGCCAGGTAGTCAGGCTGTCCCTCTGCCACCCTGAGCCACTGTGGTCCACTGTAAAGAGCCAGTGGCCAGGCCACAGGAACTGGCTGGTGGCTGGGCTGGGTGTGGCTGGCTGGTAGCCACTTGCCAGGCCATGGGGTCCAGGCCCTCATGCTCCATGCCCCTTGGGTCTCCTGGGGAGAAGAGACACAGCTTTTTGTTGGGAGTAGCAGAGTCCTGGCTCCTGGGGCCTTGGGTGTGCTGTGCAGACCCAGGGCAGCTGCGGGAGGCAGCCTGCTGCGTCGCTTGGGAGCTGGTGCCCTGCAGGGGCTGCAGGGAGGCTGTCCCAAGGGAAGGGCCTTCTCTGGCCCTTCTGTGAGGAGCCTCGATCTCAGCTCCTGGCCATTCCACCCCCAGTCTGCCTGGCACGCTGATGGGCAAACAAGGAAGTGAGAGGTGGTGAGACCCCCAAGGGCCCAGACCGCTCACTGTTGGGGGCTTTCTGCTAGCCTGGGCATGGAGGGGGCTGAGGTCCCTGGACTAAGTGTTTACCACCTGGGCAGACATAGTGTCCCAGGCCTGGGCCTGAGAGGAGGACACACTGGCTGGCAGAGAAAGGATGGAGTCTCCACACTCGTGACCAGTGACTTCACCCCAGTCCGCAGATCTGCCCGACAGGCTGGGGGGTGGCGACCTTTCAGGCTTTTGCAGGCCCAGCCCCCGCCCCTGCCCCCTCCATTTTCTGCACCGGGCTAGGCCTGGCTGGGCACGTGTGTAACAGGCTGAGGGGGAGCTGTGGCTGAGATGTCCTGTCCTGGACTGGGAGGGTGGGCCTCTTTGGACTGGGTGCCACCCTCTCTGCCACAGTGTGGCTCCTACCAAGCTCAGCTCACAGGGACAACAGCAGATCTCCTGTTCCTGGGAAAGGAACTGGAGATCCCCTAGAAAGTTCTGCTGTGGGGCCTGCAGCCCAGATCTGCAGCAGAAAAGCCCGCATGGCCTTGGATTCCTGCCACTACGGCAGGTTCAGCAGGGAGTGCTTGGCGTACAGCTTCTGGGAGACGTCATAGACACGCTCGATGAAGGGGAGGGCCTCACCCAGCATCTGCACGGCCTGCTCCGGGGGCCCCACGTTCATGGCCTCCAGGAAGACCTTGCGTGTGGGCAGGGCACAGAAGGCCACGGTGACGGCACGGCGCACGATCCAGGGGTGGTAGGCGGCCAGTGAGGCGTTGTAGGAGTCGGTGCAGAGCACGGAGGTGCGCGCATCCTCGGGGCTGGTGCGCAGGCTCTCCAGGAACAGCTGCAGCCAGTGCAGGGCGCGGTGCAGGCGCAGCAGGGTTCGGCAGCCGGACTCGGGGTGGTGGGAGCGCCGCTCCAGGTCCACCAGCTGGCTGCCCAGTTCATGGGCCACCATGGCCTGCAGGGTGTAGTAGTGCTCATGCTGTGGGCCACCCCTGAGGCGCTCCATGATCTGCAGCTTCGAGACCACGTCCTTGGAGATAAATGAGAAGATGGCACCCAGGCTGTTCAGAAACCTGTGGGAGGGAGCAGGGCTCGAGTCCTCGCCCAGGCCCGGGGCAGCCCGCTGGGGTGCAGGGGACGCGGCCCAGCCTTCCAAGAACTCACACACATCCGCAAACAGGCAGCAAAGCTGGTGGCAGCCAGCGGGAGGCAGATACCACATACGGGACTCGACAGGTGAGCGCCCTCAGGGAGCAGGTCCTGCGGACGCACCTGACCAGGCCCTTCCAGCTGGCAATGTAGGGGTCCAGCAGGACCTCTTCCTTCTCATTGAGACACTGCTTGAAACTGACCAGGACGACTTTCAGATTGAAACCTGTCTCCGAATCATCCATTTTTTGATAGGAACGGCAATACGGTTGGGCTGGGAAATACACTCTCACTGGGGTCAGCTTGATCTGTGGCTCATTTTCTCTGTCTGTGGAAGGGAACAAGAGAGCTGCGATCACTGCTGCCCACTGAACACTCACGCCCCCTACGGAGCTTCCTCCGAGGAGCCGCCTGGCTCTGCTCCCAGCCAAGCGGTAGGCTCTCAGGCACACCACGCTGACGCACCCTTCATCAGGGTCTCGTACCCACAGACCTTGGCACGGCCCCTCCTGTGGGTCAGTCCCTGACTCCTCTGGCTTTATCAGACCACTCGATCGTGCCGTCCGCAGTGGGCGTCTCTGCTGTTGCTCTCCTGCTTATTTGTTTTTGTTTCTCTCACTAGAGGCTGTATCTGTTTTTTGCCAGCTGAAGAAATATTTGCCAAGAGCCCTGCCTAGAGCCAAGCACTGTTCTAGGCACCTGCGTGCACAGGGAGTGAGTGAGTGGGCAGCCATCGGGGGTGGGGTCAGACAACAAAGACAGGAAGTTCTGAGGTCATACATAAGGGAAACAGACACAGTAGAAAGCAGAGTCGGGGGAGCAGGGAGTGTGGGGGGTGCTGCCAGGGGTGGGATGGGGGCAGATATGCTGCCAGGCAGACTTCCCCCATCTTCCTCAATGCTGCATCCCCAAAGCAGAGGAAAGGCTGTGGGGCCAGCGCTTGCTGGATGGATAGATGCAACTGTTTTCACTACCGTTGCTGAAACTCTGAGTCCCACAGGGATGGGTGCCTGCGCTAAAGGTTTTACCACACTCAGAAGATTGCCGCAAGGCCCTCCTAGCAGCCCTAGGGAACCTTCCATGAGTGGCCCAGGCCCTGCTCTGCATTCTGCTGGCATTCACATAGTCACTCCCCAGACATCCAAGCACCCTTGCCCCATCTCCCCAAGTGCCCCAAGGGCCTGCACCTGCTCTGGGGACCCTGGGACTCAGCTGCATCCCCCTTGACCAGGAAGAACACTTGCCCCACTGGGCCTGGAGGTTCCTCGGCCCCCTGACTCTGGGAGCCCTGTCCTAACTTCCTTGACTGCAGGGACTCCAGCAGGGGTGCGGAGGGCACCCAGCCGTGGTGAGCACTCCTGGCCAGGAGCAGATGGGCAGGTTGCTGGGCCCTTCATCACTGGGGAGCACGGGCTGCAAGCCCTGCCCAACCCATGGCCCAGGCTGCTGGAGCACGGTGGCCCGGAGGTGCTGGAGCCTTGCCTGGCAGGCCCCACAGGTTGGGTTGCATGCTTGGCACCAGGCAGAGGCCCCAGATGTGAGCTCACCGGGTTTCAGGTGTGGGCGATGGCTGCTCTTGGGCCCCAGAAAGATGGCGCCCCAGAGACTTCCAGCACACTCCTCCCCTCCTCGGGCCTCCGTTCTGTCCACTGAGAAGATGGTCTCTGAGGCTCCGGGGTTTCCTTCTTGGTCACCAGATATTCTGCGGGCCTCGCCTTCCTGCCCAGATCTGAGCCAGTGGCCAATAGGAGCTGCCAGGAGCCTCAGGGCTGTGGCTGGTGGCTCAGGGACAACAGGAAGGGCAGTGGCAGTGCAGGAGGCAGGCAGCTCGCCAGCCCAGGAAGGTAACACAGGGCACCTCCAGTCTTTTCCGAGGGCAGCCCACCGGCCCAAGGTCAGGGTTGGGCGCAAGGCCGTCTGAGCACACAGCCTTGTGGGGGCCAGCAGGAGACGCGCCCCCAAGGCGCTTGGGTGGGACCAGGGCCCTGTTCAGCGAGCGCTGCGAATCTCACCTGGGAAGGGGCTTCAGATGGTACCGGACTGGGTGGGCACTGGTTCGAGTCCCTACTCCGCCGAGGGGTCCAGGAAGGGGCTGAGGCGCGGGGTGGTAGTGGGGAGGGGGCCGACCTGAGACAGCTCTGTCGTGCGCGGGAGCCCGGACCTTGGCCTCCCGCCCGCTCCAGCCTTCTAGGAGGACGTCCCCTCCCGCTCCCGGCCCCTCGGCGACCTTCGGACCCCACCGGTTGGGTCAGGCAGTGCGGCTGCCGAGCCCGGAGGGGCCGCATTCGGGGTCCGGGCCCCGCCCGCCTGCGTCCGCCGCTCTGATTGGTTCAATGCTGCCCAATCAGGCGGCCCGGTGAGCCGACCCTCATTTCCGGCAAGAGCACCGGAAGTTGACGCCGTGGTGGCCGCGCCTGTGCAGCGCATCTCTGTGCGGGCGGCTCGCGGGCCGGTAGCGCGGTGGAGAAGATGCCTGAGATCAGAGTCACGCCCTTAGGTGAGTGGGAGTCTCCCGGAGGGCTGTGGGGCGGGCTTCGGATGCGGCTCCCGGCGGGCTGGGCGCCCCGCTGCCTCCCGGTTCTCGTCGCGGAGCCTGGTGCGCGTCGCGGGCATCCTTCCGTCACTTCCTCCCCGCGCGGGCGCTGGTGGGAGCCGGGAGGCGGCCTAGTGCCGGCACCCGGGGCCTTCCGCAGTGACGCGAGAACGCGAGCCCCGAGGTTCAGGCGGCCGTGAGGGGACGACGCAGATGGGGCCGCGGGGCCTCCGCGTTCGCTGTGCGCTTTCCTCGGTGCGTTGACCTTCCTGTGCCGCGTGCTGCCGCTTCTAGTTCCTCAGTCCCCCAGCCCCCCAGCCCCTCAGCCCCTCAGCTCTCTAACCCCCAGCCCCTCAGCCCTCTAATCCCCCAGCCCCCAACCCCCCAGCCCCTCAGCCCCCCAGCCCCTCAGCCCCTCAGCCCTCTAACCCCCCAGCCCCTCAGCCCTCTAGCCCCCCAGCCTCTCAGCCCTCTAACCCCCCAGGCCCTTAACCTCCCAGCCCCTCAGCCCCTCAGGCCTCTGACCCCCCAGCCCCCTAGCCCTCTAACCCCCCCCAGACCCCTAACCCTCCAGTGCCTCAGCCCCGCAGCCCATCAGCTCTCAGCCCTCTAACCCCCCAGCCCCTCAGCCCTCACTCAGCTCTCTAACCCCCCAGCCCCCAGCCCCTCAGCCCTCTAAACCCCCAGCCCACCAGCCCACCAGCCCCTCAGCCCTCTAACCCCCCAGCCCCCCAGCCCCTCAGCCCCTAGTCCTCTAACCCCCCAGCTTCACAGCCCCTCAGCCCCTCAGCTCCTCAGCCCTCTAACCCCCCAGCCCCCTAGCCCCTCAGCCCTCTAACCCCCCAGCCTCCCAGCCCCTCAGCCCTCTAACCCCCCAGTCCCTCAGCCCCTCAGGTCCTCAGCCCTCAGCCCTCTAACTCTCCAGCCCTCTGACCCACCAGCCCCTCAGCCCCTCAGGCCTCTAACCCCCCAGCCCCCCAGCTCTCTAACCCCCCCCAGACCCCTAACCCCCAGCACCTCAGCCCCCCAGCCCCTCAGCCCTCTAACCCCCAGCCCCCTAGCCCCCCAGCCCCTCAGCCCTCTAAACCCCCAGCCCCTCAGCCCCTAGTCCTCTAACCCCCCAGCCTCCCAGCCCCTCAGCCCCTCAGCTCCTCAGCTCCTCAGCCCTCTAACCCCCCAGCCCCCCAGCCCCTCAGCTCTCTAACCCCCCAGCCTCCCAGCCCCTCAGCCCTCTAACCCCCAGCCCCCCAGCCCCTCAGCCCTCAGCCCTCTAACCCCCCAGCCCCTCAGCCCCCAGCCCCCCAGCCCTTCAGCCCCTCAGCCCCTCTGTCCCTCTGTCCCTCAGCCCTCTAACCCCCCAGCTCTTCAGCACCTCAGCCCCTCTGCCCCCCAGCTCTTCAGCCCTGAGACGACCAGCCCCTCAGCCTCTTGGCCCCTCAGCTTCCCAGCTCCTCAGCCCCTTGGCCCCCCAGCACCTCGGCCCCCCCCAGCTCCTCAGCCCCTCAGCCCCCCACCCTCCCAGCTCCTCAGTCCCCCAGCCCTTCAGCCTTCCAGTCCCGCAGCCCCGCTTCTGCCTCCACTTCTCACTTTCTGTCCACCACCCTTTGTGCTCACATCTGACTTAAATCAATTGTCAGTTCAGCTCTTGTTCTCCTTGATCTTTGCAACATTGAAAAGATAGAAGAAAACACAAATGCATACTCCTAAAGGTCCTAACAGGCTGGGCACTGTGTCTCATGCTTGTAATCCCAGCACTTTGGAAGGCAAAGGTGGGAGGATCGCTTGAGCCCAGGAGTTGACGACCAGCCTGACCAACATGGCAAGACCCTGTTGCTCCAAAAAAAAAAAAAAAAAAAAAAAGGCAAAAATTAGCTGGGTGTGGTGGCTCAAGCCTGTGGTCTCAGCTATTGGGAGGCTGGGGTGGGAGGATCACTTGAGCCCAGGAAATTGAGGCTGCAGTGAGCCATGATGGTGCTACTGCATTCCAGCCTGGGCGACAGCAAGACCCTATTTCAAAAAAAGGTAAAAGTTGTACAGTATAGAACAATACGAAGAAGGAAAGAATTAATCAAAATCCAGGGTCTCAGAAACAACTGTGGGGACATGGTGTTGGTGGCCAACCCTCCTGATGTCCCTGGGCTTTTTCCGTACATGCCTGCCATGTGCTGTCTTGGAACCTGGGCCTTCCACTGAGCAGGAGGTCGAGGGCATCTTCCAGTACAGACACCTGGACGGGACTCCATGTCCTTCTCCATGATGTGAGTGCTTCCTCAGAGGGTGCACCCGCCCCAGCAGGGACACTGTGCTGTTTTTTTTGTTTTTTTTTTTGAGATGGAGTCCCTGTCACTGGTCTGGAGTGCAGTGGCGTGACCTCAGCTCACTGCAGCCTCCGCCTCCTGAGTATCTGGGACTACAGGTGTGTGTGCCACCACGCCCAGCTAATTTTTGTATTTTTAGTAGAGACGGGTTTCACCATGTTGGCCAGGATAGTCTTGATCTCTTGACTGTGTGATCCGCCCGCCTCGGCCTCCCAAAGTGCTGGGATTTCAGGTGTGAGCTACCGCGCCCGGCCCACTGTGCTATTAATAGCTGCATTGAACACCCCGGCCTGCCAGGTCAGAGTTCATATCCCATTTTGCAGCTGTTAGTGTGAGCTCTGTTGCCCTCCCCTGCCCTCTGAGGCCTCTGCAGGGTCCTCCCAGCCTGCCCCTTTCCCATTTGGCCTCTTGGCTGCCTGTTCTGCCCACTATCTGGACAGTCCGATCTTTTTTGTGGCTTCAGTTATCCCAGACCTGTACCTGGGTATCTTCTCAAGGCACTTCAACCCAGGGATCGTCAAAGCAGAACCCGTTTCACCCTTCCCTGCACCAGGTACTGCCTCTCGGCCTCCATGGTCACTGAGCCAGTGCTGTGTCCTTGGGGTCACTCCCACGCCCTGGCCTTTGTGTGGCTGTTCTCCCACCCTGCCTGTCTGTCCCCACCCTGCTCAGACGTTGGCTTCTCAGGGGGAATTTTTCGTCATGGTTCTGGAAGTTTCAGGGCTTCCTTGTACTCCTACCTTGCTCTCCCTGTCACAGAAGCCTCTGTCTGGCACGCTCAGGACGCCTCATTTACTTGTCTGCCAGCAGTCTCCTTGCAGACAGGGATGCTCTTCCTCTGCCTTTTGAGCCCTGTTTCGTCCTCTAGTTCCAGGCTCTATTCCTGCACCTCTGTTGTCTTTCCTCCCTGGGATCAGCGTGGGTCCTGTTGGGAGACAGGGCTGCCACTGCCTAAGGACAGGGCTTTGGAATTCAGAAAACCAACCGAGCCCCACGTTTCGGGGCTGTGTGCCATGAGTGCTTCTGTGGCCTCAGGTCCTTGCCTGGAAAGACGGGCAACTCTCCCCTCCCACAGATGTTGGGGGGCCTCTGCAAGCCTGGCGTGGCTTGGGGCAGGACGTGCAGAGGGAGGAGACATCTGAGGCCCTGGCCTCAGAGAGCCCAGTGAGGGCAGAAACAGGCCTGTAATAGAACCTGAGACCCCCATCTGTGGCAGGCAGGCCCTTGGCCCCGTCACCCTGATGTATGGTTTTGGATGCTTCAGGTGGCTGGCAGAGGGAGGTGGGTGGGATTCAAAGGGCAAACCAGGCTGTTCACTGCCATCAGACTCCTGTCCAGGCGCAGACAGGAGCAGAGGAGCAGAGGCCCTGGCCCTTTCCTCATGGGCCCCCAGGCCACATGAGGGGCTGAGTATGCCTTGCCTGACCAGGGCCTCTGGCTGGAGCAGCTGGGCAGGGCTTCGTGGTTGTCAGGGGTATGGGAGGGGTGCAGATTAGGGTCCGCGTTGGGGACTGCACGGTGTGCAATGGTGGGCTTGTGTTGCCCACACTGGCCACTGCTGGACTGCTGGCACTGTGTTCGCTGTGGCTTGGCTGAGGCTGCATGGCATCCCTCCACAGCCGCACCACCAGCAGGCACCCAGTTCCAGCACGCAGGCACCTAGGCCCTTGCCTGCCTGGGGACAGATCCTGGAGGAGGTAGCCTTGTTGGTCTGCAGCTCTGCTGAGGGTCCAGCCACAGCCCAGGAGTGACCCTGATTGAGGTCTTGGCCCCACAGACCAGCACATGTCTCTGTTGGGCACCACGGACTACCACACAGTGCCCCACTACTCAGCCAGCAGTCCTCAGCCACTTTGAGAGGCCAGGGGAAGCTGGCAGGGGAGGGCGTGTGGGCTGCAGGCCCCAGCCCTGGGCGTGGTGGTGTGGGGCTTGGTCCCCTGTGTCCCTCTTTCTGTGAGTGGAGGTGGCTCTGCTTCTTAGCCCAAGTGTCTGTCCACACAGCAGTGCCTCTCACCTGCCCTCTCTTGAGTAGGGGCTGGCCAGGATGTGGGCCGAAGCTGCATCCTGGTGTCCATCGCAGGCAAGAACGTCATGCTGGACTGTGGGATGCATATGGGCTTCAATGATGATGTGAGTCCCTTGGGAAGGAGGCCCAGAAGTTGGGAGGGCGGGCCGTCCACAGTAGGTCCCTGGGCCTTGGAGCTGGGACAGTGGGGCAGTGGGCAGCAGTGGTTGTGACTGGATGTCTGTACCCTGCAGGGAGCAAGGATGGGTGGGTGTGGCTGGTGCGAGTCCCTACATGGGGAGGTCCCCTTGTGCTGCACTGGGCCCCAGCCCCAGGGTCCTATAGGGTGGGCTCAGCTTCCAGCTCAGATCTGTCCATGAGGCTGGGGGGAACCCTGGCCTCTCCGGATGCTGTGAGCAGCCAGGGATCCTGATGCCACCTGCGGGGTGGGAGTGCCCAGCCTGGCCTTGAGTCTGCACACAGAATCCTACTT